TCAGTTTGTTAATACGAAAGTTATGACTTAATAGAAAAGAGACACCTTCTAGATTTTGAAATGTATTTTGAATGGTAGGTTATATCGGAAAGTTGCCAATTGCAATAGAAAAAATAGACCAATAGACAAAGAAGTGACTTTAACACCGGCAATACTGACAAAAGAAAGTTGTGCTTATGCATGAAATATATGGAGATAACGAACAGTATTCAAGCTCAAAAGTCCATTAATCAATACAAAATAGGAGCAGAGCAAACACGGACCTCCAAACATCAGAAGTGGGATCAGGTGCCATGGAGGAGTGAGCATCCCCGGCCGACCGGTCACCTCCGCCGTGTGCTCCTTGTCATGATCGGGAAATAACGGAAAAATCCGTCGACAATTCAATGTGTAAATAATGGCCTAACAATTAGTATGAAAAACGTCAGTCAGCATTTGACTCAATGATAAATTGTATAATGAAACAAATTAATTTCAATTTTTAAATATGAGATTTGGGATACTTAGTATAGCATGATTTTGCAAGTATTAGCATTCGCGAAATAAAATTACTCGCTTTTCATTTCATATGCTGAAATTAAAAAAAATTAAGAAACAAGAAAAACCTGACACTACCTGCGAAAGAAGGGGCATGTTAAAAACGAAAAATTATAGCCGGGGTATATTTGGAAAAAAAACTGACAATTTTCCGGAAAAAATAACCTTTCAGATCAATGTCATGAGGAAGAGAAAACTGGAAGGAAACTTGGGCATGTTTTAGCTGGTCAAAGGGAGGTCAAAAATGATTGACACGTACAGCGTGTCCTTTTTGCATCCGTTTATATTCATTTGAGTTCATATAATAAACTTATTCCATGTATTTTTTATTAAATTTATATCAAAATTTCTTTAGATCCTCTCTCTCTCTCTTACATTCCCCTATGCTTTATATTGCGTAATTAGTCATTCGATTAATGTATCTTACATTTCCATTCCCTCTCCATGTTTATTATATTTTTTTATATCACACTCTTAACACAAGGCAATGTATGCATTGTTTAATTTTTTTTATTATTTCAGCCATAATTACAATCAGCCAAGTATTAGGTATATATCTGGACAATATAAACAGTTATGGAATTTCAAACACCTTACATATTGAATGTTTGCTAATACCAAATATTTTTCTGAATGTAAAAAAATAATAACAAGGTATTTATAAATAACAAATTCACATCTGATGCTTAGTAGAAATAGAAAGAAATTGAAGGAAATTAACAAATTATTCATACTTTCTGGTTTTTCATCTTAGAAAATTTAGAAATCGATGTTCTGTAGATCAAACAGCAAAGGCGAAGACAACGAATAGTGACCGATTTCAAGAAATCCTCAAACAATACAAATATATAAACAGGGCATAAAACACAGACCTTCGAAATTTCAGAGGTGAGATCCGGTACCTAGGAGGTAAAAGCATCCCCTCGTCCACTGGCCACACCCGCCGTGGGCCCTATATATTGATCAGGGAGATCAGGTAGACGAAGTAACTAGTATAAAACAAGGCCTAATAATTGGTATGAAATGTGTCAGTCAAAAACGACCAAATAATAGGTTATATTTTCTACAAAGGTCAATTTAACGACCATAGAATTAAAAAGAATAACTTCTTTGTCAAAATGTAATTGCCAAAATATGAACTTTATTATAAGGTTTGAAAAGTTCTTCGTCAGGAGATTTTTTCCCTATATATTCCTATGTAAAACTTTGATCACATAATGTTACCCCAACCTATTCCCGGGGTCATGATCTGAACAAAGTTTACTTGAAACATGTATGTTGTTACAATTTCTTTTTCTTTTTTTTTTTTTTTGATAATTGAGTCTTTTGGGAGTTTATAAAAGTTTATTTCAAGTCAAAAACTTTAACATTCAGATAAATTTTCTATGCTCCTAAACCAATCTTGTAAAAATTGATTTAACAATGTTTCTTTAACAATGGATTTTAACCGTGTAATACTAGAAAAGCTTTGATTAATCCATTCGGTCTACTTCGAGACATAATAGCACCTAATAATATAATAATACCTTCACAATGTTAATTGGTGCACCTTTATATAAAAGTGTTTTCTTTAGAATTCTTCCTCTAGAAAAAATGAGTATTTTAGTCTCGTCTGTATTTACTTTAAGCTTTCAATGATCACAATAATTAGAAAAAATAAATCCTATGGTTTGTCAAATAATAAAACTGTCGTCAGCATAAAAAATTATAAATAGTTTAAACATAGTCATGCATTTCAATTTTAAATTTCTTACTAAAGCTCGTATACCCTTCAATGTCATTCTGCAAAAGAAATCTTTCTATTTTTGATAAATCTTAAACGTTTACCATCTATACTACCATTTAACACTTTAGTCCTTAAACCAGATCTACATACAGTATAAAATGCTTGTCTGAAATCAATGAATATACAATATATTTTTTTCTTGCCAAAAGAAATCTACACAAAAAAATCTATTAACAATGTATTATCTAATTGTACCACATATCCCTTTCGAAAGCTAGCTTGAGCTTCAGTAATCATTTCTAAATCATCTGCAAAATTTTTAAACGTTCACTTAAAATATTAGTAAATACTTTTTCTACACAGCTTAACAGTGTTATTGGTCTGTAATTTAAGCCACTCCTTTGGTACAATACCAGTATAAAACTTAAAATTAAAAATTCAACATATTATTGTGGCAAAACATGTTATTGTTGTACGTATATATCCATTACAAACTTGATCATACCCTGGTTTAGTTTGTTAACTGCTTGCGAAATTTCTTCAGCAGAGATCTGACAATTTAAAGAAGAGTTATTACATCGAAAATAATAATATCGTTATCATCTACGGCACTATCATCATCTTTATCTGCATTTATTTTTTTCCCAAATAATCATGAATTGCTTTGATATCGAATTCAGTTTTACATCTACCCTTTTGACTATTCAAAATTCTCCAAAATATTCCCAAATATTACTTTTTCTTAAGATTTCCTAATTTCGATGTTATAGACAGAGAATCCTCTTTAATGCTTTTATCCATCGCTTTCTTTACTGGGGATGTTTCACGGTTTTCCGGGGTTTTATGTTTATTGTGGAGTCGTTTAGTCAAATGAAATTTTCTTCTTGCAGTCCGACATGGCGCATTGTACCATATTCTATTAACTTTTTGATTGTTTTTTTCAATTTTGGTTTGTGTTTCACATCTAGTGTGTAATTTCTGCTGTAGATGGAAATAAACCACGCAATTTACTAGAAAAGTTGTTTATATCGTCATTTTGGACAGTTTCAACATTTTCCTTTAGTTGTAAAACTTCTGTCTGTAAGTTTTTTTTAAGTCTTTAAGTTTCTCAACATCGATGTTTTCTTTGTATGTTCGGATTTTTCTGAGTCCCATTTGTATTGCTTGATATTAGTATTGCTTTCATTACATGGTTGATCACTTGAGTGAATTTCTACTTTTAGGCTTTCGAATTAAAATGTTATTGGACAATAGACATTATGAAAGATCTTAAGCTTAAGTCAAAATCCTTACGTTGTACTAAATCATTATAGTAGTCACTATAGAATTGTGTCATTACAATTATTACAAATAAATCTTTTTGTACTACTGTAATATATGCCAACGACATGGTCATTTTGCAGAGAGTGAAAAACTACAGGCATTATTGCTACTGAATGTGTTTGTCGCCAGGAACTAACCATTCAGATATTGAGGATATTAAGTTTCAATGTCACAGTATCTTATATTGTCCTCAATGTAGTCAAAACTGATCAAACTTGAATCTACACTACGTAATGAAGCTTTCACATAAGTTTTTTTTTCCTTGCCCAGTGATTATTGAGAAGATTAGTTTTAAAAGATGCAATTGAATATTTACCATTTCTTAATTGATAAAATCACCCAATGTATTAACTTGAATTCTCTTTACCCATGGATTCTCTGTGACGAGTTTGGTTGAAAATGGCGCAGTGGTTCTGCAGAAGATAATGAAACTGTGAAAAGTTTATGATGCCCATGACGACAACATTGACAAATTTGATCAGCTCAATTGAGCTTTTCATTCAGGTGAGCTTAAAACTGCAATGTTGTACGAGAATGTTTATAAAAATAAGGGACCTCTCCAATTTAGGGCTGTGTCAATATATTGATATGTACCGATATTCAAGAATGTATCCTATCGAAAAAAAAACTTCCAATACGTATAGGACAGGCAGTTTTTCTTATAATTCTGTGAAAAAGTTGAGAATTTCAATCACTAAAATTTATATTTGACTGTTTTGAATTAAGGAAATAGGATATCTTTGATAATTATTACAAATTACATAGTCAACTATATTTTAACATGTTGGTTTTACAGCCGTTTAAAGTTTGAATTTGAAGTGTATTTTGTAATGATGGAAAGACAAGAACTTTGAAATAGGTTTTGACACTCATTATTTTTATGAATTTTATGCATTAAATGATATACAAGAGATTTTTGATAGACTTGTTTAAGAATCCAATATATCGAATATCGCTTCATAAAATATTGTATCATATCTAATCAAATTTTTTTGCTCAATTCACAGCCCTACTCTCCATAGACAAAAACACATTTACAAATTATACTTCACATTATTTAGCAAAAAGGAACAAAATTTTGTGCATATAAAGCCAGTTACTTTTTTGTCAATCACGCATGTGGATCTACCCTTCAAAATCACATAATAAGTGGTGTTTGTCACTTATAACTCAAAGCGGCTGTTGTCACACTGAATTGTTACTTACAGTGCAATCCCATTGTCACTTATGCATGTCACTGCCTTTTTATATACACCATGTATTCTCAATTCTCAAAGTACATGAAAATGAAATGAATAAAAGCCTTTTTGTACTATACACAACCGTAAAACTTTCTAAAAAAGGAGTCATTTCAATGGATGAAATCAACTGCAATCAGTGGCAGGTTACCATCAAAAACGAAATAGTACTTAAGTTTGAGATAAGTTACTTTTATTGGGATGAATTTTGTGAAGAATCATGCGACAATGTAGCTAATAACAGTTCTAGTTTAGAGGCAAAATTCCGGCCCTCGAATTTGGTCAGATCCACCTGCTGAAAGTCAGCTCCTACACTCTGCCATTTACTATCAGGAAGGATAACTCTGTTTTTGTTGTCTTTCTGTGATAACTGCAGGAACACCTTAATTCCACTGGACGGCCCACTCTTTATAGCAAGAATCCTATAAAAATCAATTTTTATGAATCATTATCTGTTAAATGAGTATCTACGCACTACATATATAATTTTTTAATGAAAAATAGTAATATATCTGTACCTGGTTCATTTGTCAACATTTTTAATTTAAAATATATTTTACTTATTATACATAAATAAGATTGAACAGCAGGCATAAATGGCTGTAATCATTCTCTCCATAGGTCAAGGTACATCTTTTAACAATTACTTGTACATTTAAAAATTGAAACATTTTTTTTTCTGTACATGATCTACATACCCCCTTTCCTAATGATCTGAACATTAATTTTTTTTTTGAAAAAAGGGGCTTCTCTTGTTATAATCAAAATACATGTATATGAATTTTGTCTGCTTTGTGTTCACAAGTAAAGAAAATTATTTTCAAAGATGTACTTTGCTGCATTTTGGTTATGTACATTTCTTTGTACATTATTTCAACAAAATGCTGACCTTTCTTTATTTGGAGCTGCTAGGATGAGGGAGGAGGCGGTCCCTGAAGATTCTAGGTCAGACACGCCCATTGCTGTACTAGTACTCATGATCTGCCAACCCATTAGACGGGCTAAGTTCTGTGACACTGAGATCTGGTGCTGAGATACCTATAAAACAAAATAAATATACTCTTACTGCAGATAAAATTTAGATTTAACAATTACTATTATAACTTTTACTAAAGGTGTTATCTATCATTCAGATTGTAAGTTTTTTCTGTCAATATGCAACATTGAAACAGAAAGATTAGTTATATGTTACATGTTCTTAGTGCAAATAATTACTAATTAATGTAATAAGTCAAAATATATGATTGTTGAACTATTACTAGTTAAGTTTTAAATACGAATATTGAAATTAGCTGGAAATTACTAGATCAACAGCTGGCCTCTTATGTGAAAGTCTTATGAAGAGAGTGTTTTAAGGTTTTATACCTGCCACATAATAAAGTCTTGTAGTTCTTTCTCCTCAAAGGATAAAAAGAAAACTCTTCCCTCCTTAATGATGACCTTCAAACTGTCTACACCAATGATGATAACAAAACTGTGCCATACCCTGCAAAAAAGACAACAACATATAAACTAAACTGTTCACACTGATGATAATTACAAAACTGTGCCACACTGTAAATAAATAACATATAAACTGAACTGAGATCATAACCTTGAGTATTGATGATGACCCTTCTGTGATATACCTGAGGTCATAACCTCTAGATGTAATGATGACCCTACTTTGACTTACCTGAGGTCATAACCTTGAGATGTGATGATGACCCTACAGCTGGCCTCTGTACTGCTGTTACAACAACTCCAGTGGACAGTCAACTGGGGGTCAGACAAAGTGGCCGCAAACCCATCAATGGTCTGCATTGTCCTGAAAAGTAAATCCAGTCATATCAGTAACATAACTCTTAAGATGGTCTATTCATTAGAGTTTGCCTGTTTCATGGCACACACCCATCAAACAAAAAGAGTAGAATACTGACCTTAACCGGAGGACATTATGCTTTGTCTGCTTGATGATTTGATCCAACATGCTCTCACTGAAAAGAAAAATAAAATTCTTAATTGATAACTTCTCTTTAAAAGAAATTTTAAGTTTCACAGAAATTAAAATTTACGCTGCTAAGATTATTAGTGTCATTTGTACATCTAGATAAATGGACTCCATTTTCACACTATATAATTCGAGCAATATGGATACAAGCTGGATTTTATTAAACCAAATTCTCTTCCGCCTCTACATATTAATAACTTTCTATTATTATTGTAAATCAAATTTCAGTGAGATCAGTATTCACCTGACCTTTCTGACACCTGACCTTTCTGACACCTGACCTTTCTGACACCTGACCTTTCTGACACCTGACCTTTCTGACACCTGACCTATCTGACCTTTCTGACATCTCCATCAGCTGTTTACGACTGAGAGCATTCGGTCCGGCAAGTCTCCGGCGCTTGGTCAGTCCCACCAGAGCTGTCACAGGGTGAGGGGCAGGAAAGTTAATGTTCTTGAAGTGGTTCTCTCTTAGCAGCTGGTGGAGTGAGTGTTCTAACACATGGTTGTGGTCCATTTTATATTGAGGAAGCTGTAATGAGTTCATACTACAGGTCACAGCTCCCACTTAAAACAATTCATCTTACACAGCTGAAAATTCCATGTAATAGTACACATGTGACAGAAAAAAATGGAGCTTGATCATTCAATAGATACCTTCTTCTCTTTTTCTTTTCCTGTGGAGTGACACAAGACAATGGAGAGTTGTATACCTGGAAACACCTGTCCAAAAATGCAGGTATTTTATAAGGGTCTGTTCCTAATTTAAGTAACTAATCTCGAGACTCATATTCTCTTAAGGAGGGACGAGAGATTCTTGTTTAATTAATGATAACATTTTTTAAGACATTTGTAAAGATTTCAGTGTTGTAATTATTTTGTATTTAGAACAAAGAAGGTTTACATGTTTACGTTACAAATTTACACTGTGAGTGACTTACATTGGTGATTATCTGGTTCCCGACCACCAGGTGAGGGACAGAGGATTTGGACTGAACTGCCTCTCTGGCCAGCTATACAAGGAAAATATCAACTTTAAAAATATTTAAAACATTAATTCAATAGTCAGTGAAACGAGAATAAATGAATGAAATACAATGTTCCAAATTAGTCTCAATTTGAAAAGTTAGGCAAAAATTATTAATTTTTTACAGACACCACCATATTTACAAATATTTTACCTGTGCAAAGATCTCCTTACAGAACAGGACATTCTGTGCTTTCTCTAGCTTTTGCTGCCAGTAAGTTTCACTTCGTACTGGACCAATTCCTGATGGTATTTTAAGTATAGCACCTGTCAGATCCATGGTGTCTAGAAAAAACAAAAAAAATGTGAATAAGCAGATGAACAGGCTAGATATATGTAAATGGGAAACAACTCACACTGGGTCACTGACATGGGGAACAATACAAATAATGCTTAGATGATAACAGCAAAAAACAAAAATAACCAAAAAGTATGTACAGGATTGCTAGTTGATATTACTTTAGAAATTATATGCAAAAAAGATTATGTTCTTTGATTATTTGTTAAATACCTCAATTTTTGTATTGCACAGGTGTGTACTTACCTGGAACAGATTTAACCTCCACTTGTATGTATGCAGCCCCTTCTAACTCTGTGGGGACAACAACATCCAGACTCCCCCGCTGGGCCAGAAACTCCCCCTCAGCATTCAGATCTGAGCTCTTTACCACCTCAAACACTCCATTATGTAAATACCGTGATCCAACTGTATTAAAATGATAAACCCACTCAAATCAGTATTCATATTTTAGCAGTTTACTTAGTAATACTTACACATGATACATAAAAGCAGAGCAGAGAGTTGAGTTTCAATATCGTTACATATATTTAAATAATTAAAGAAATTCTGACTGAAGGAAATTTTTCCTAAAATGCAACTTACTGTGCAGATATTAAAACTTTAATTAGCAATGCATTAAGTTGTTTAAGATGAAGGTTTACCTGATCTGTAGCTGAGATCCCCTAGTATGGAGGTCCCCGTCTTTTTAAGTCTCCAACTCTGTCGCACATTTAAAAGTTCCAGATGGAAGTCATTTTTGCTGTTGATTTCAGCTTGTGATTTCCGTAACCTTTCTGCACCAGACTGAAGAACACTGGCTGCTGACTGTAGGGCCTGCAAATACACAAGTCACTTTTGATAAACTTCACATGAAATTTCTTATTAATTTCAAACAAACATTGATATTTCGTGGTGTACAATAAAGGTACATCTTTAAGTTTGAATAGTTCATGATGATATAAAATTAGAATTCTATAGCTATCACATGCATATTTCATGAAGCATGTAAGCACTCTGACACACACAGACACTTACCCTCCTCTTTGACATAAGCTGTATTTCTATCTTACCCTTCTCTTTGACATAAGCTCTATTACTAACTTACCCTTCTCTTTGACACAAGCTGTATGGTTAACTTACCCTTCTCTTTGACATAAGCTGTATGGTAAACGTACCCTCCTCTTTGACATAAGCTGTATGGTTAACTTACCCTTCTATTTGACATAAGCACTATTACTAACTTACCCTCCTCTTTGACACAAGCTGTATGGTAAACGTTCCCTCCTCTTTGACATAAGCTGTATGGTAAACTTACCCTTCTCTTTGACATAAGCTGTATGGTAAACTTACCCTCTCTTTGACATAAGCTGTATGGTTAACTTACCCTTCTCTTTGACATAAGCTGTCTGGTAAACTTACCCTTCTCATTGACATAAGCTGTATGGTAAACTTACCATTCTCTTTGACATAAGCTGTATAGTAAATTTACCCTTCTCTTTGACACAATCTGTATGGTTAACTTACCCTTTTCTTTGGCATAAGCTGTATGGTAAACTTACCCTCCTCTTTGACACAAGCTGTATGGTAAACTTACCCTTCTCTTTGACACAAGCTGTATGGTAAACTTACCCTTCTCTTTGACACAAGCTGTATGGTAAACTTACCCTCCTCTTTGACACAAGCTGTATGGTAAACTTACCCTCCTCTTTAACACAAGCTGTATGGTAAACTTACCCTCCTCTTTGACATAAGCTGTATGGTAAACTTACCCTTCTCTTTGACACAAGCTGTATGGTAAACTTACCCTTCTCTTTGACACAAGCTGTATGGTAAACTTACCCTCCTCTTTGACACAAGCTGTATGGTAAACTTACCCTCCTCTTTGACACAAGCTGTATGGTAAACTTACCTTTCTCTTTGACATAAGCTGTATAGTAAATTTACCCTTCTCTTTGACACAATCTGTATGGTTAACTTACCCTTTTCTTTGACATAAGCTGTATGGTAAACTTACCCTCCTCTTTGACACAAGCTGTATGGTTAACTTACCCTTCTCTTTGATATAAGCTGTAAGGTAAACTTATCCTTCTCTTTGACACAAGCTTTATGTTTAACTTACCCTTCTCTTTGACATAAGCTGTATGGTAAACTTACCCTCCTCTTTGACATAAGCTGTATGGTAAACTTACCCTCCTCTTTGACACAAGCTGTATGGTTAACTTACCCTTCTCTTTGACATAAGCTGTATGGTAAACTTACCCTTCTCATTGACATAAGCTGTATGGTAAACTTACCCTTCTCTTTGACATAAGCTGTATGGTAAACTTACCCTCCTCTTTGACATAAGCTGTATGGTTAACTTACCCTTCTTTTTGACATAAGCTGTATTGCTAACTTTGGATCGGGAGCATTCTGTTGGACAGGATCTAGTACCATGTATCGCTTCTCTTTACTGGATGCTATATTAAGTATATCAAGAAGTACACTCATCTCTGTATGTGATGTTCTGAAAGTAAAAAAAAATCATATATATCTAATTCAAATGTGATTAACCAACAAAATATCAAGATTAAAAGTCATATATCCAGGAAATAGTGAAACAAAAATAAGATTTTGTTACATGACAATCCCTCCTATCTTCATCTTCGCTAGCCAAGGGTTTCTGATACGCTACTCTCCTCATAAGCCCTTGACATACGGTGTTGAAAAAAAGTTGGGATTTTTTTCTCAAGTTGTGATTGGAGTTGATCGACATCGTTCGACCAATCAGCAATTGTTTTTTGTAAATGACGATATTTGCGTTCGGGATATATCTTGACTCTTTAATATCGGTAATGTAAAATGCAAGTAAACAATGATCCATAAGGTAACATGCCATTCTATGAATAGCTATATGGTGTCATCCAATATCTAAAGCTACGTGCAAAATATGTGATTAAGAATCTATACTGAAGATGTAGATTTGCATTATTACATGTTTAAATAACAAATTAACATAACTCGATACCTTCTTGTTAATTATTCTTTAAAAACAAAATTTTTTAAATACGCTTTTTATTTCTGTCGATGACACAATCTGTGCGTACCTGGGAAGAATCACGATCACGTGACAAAAACAATCCCGTCTTTTGTCAGCACCATATGCCAAGGGTTTATGAGGAGAGTAGCATATCAGAAACCCTTGGCTAGCGAAGATGTCCTATCTTGGTTTAATTCTTACTGAGCCCTACCCTCCCACCTGAGTTTAGTTCTTACTGAGCCCTGCCCTCTCACTTGAGTTTAGTACTGACTGTATTAGTTATTACCCCCCCCCCCTTTACATTCTGGCTAGCAACTTTTTACTTGGGGCTAGTGACTTTATTGCTGACACTAGCCCATGGGCTAGTGCTTGAACTTTTTAATTGGCATACCCCTGGTTTCAAAATTGGCGTTGTAATGATCTGCGGAAAGATTTACACACTCAATTTGAGTACTATAAACCAATGCCATTTTCTTTTGAATAACATCATGAAATATAATAAAATTTATTCGGACTGGTAAAACACATTAAGTCATCAGCCCGAATGACTAATAGGAATAATTGGTTTTCGGAAACTCTGTGACCTCTCACCTGAGTTTAGTTCTGACCGAGTCCCAGGGCCAGAGTGAGGGTTGGAAGGCTGCCACTGTCTTTTCCTCCTCCTCTTTCTCTCCTTCAGATGTTGGCTTGCCTTTTTCATCACTTTCATCTTTGTAAAAATCAATTTTCTGTGCCAACTTTGTCAGATTCTCTGACATTGACAGTGGTCTAGTAAGGGAAAAATATCAATTTACTGATTATTTTGTGAAAGAATTCTTACCAGAAGTGGATTAGCTTTTAAAACATTGCAAAATGTGAAAAGGTCATTATCATTGTGAATTTGCTAAATCAGTGTTCATTTTTAAAAATTACTCTATTGTTTACTATACTTCTTCAAAAGATTCACATTATGGGGTTTGTTTGATTGTTTGTTTTTTTTTTTTTTTAAAGAAAAAAGGCGATGGGTGACCACTGGCCAGCTGACAGCATTTTTTATACTTGAAAAATAATGTTTGCATGGTTAGAGTTCTTCAGGTCCAGCACAATCTCTTGATTTAGCTATATAGCTTGAAAAAGCTATATAGCTTTATTAAGCTATTCAAAATAGCTTGATAAAGCTATTTATGTGCAGTTTTTCAGAAAAATGTTTTTTGTAAAAATAGACAAAAAGTCACAAGTATTTTACTATTCATATATGTACTATGGACTATCAAAACAACAACTGAAATCAAAGATAGTTCTAACATTGCAGCATTTGAATACTTTTAAGCAAAAGATGAATTTCCATTGTTTGAGTAACTGTACACCACCTTGTGTGTGTTAAGGCGTGGATAAGTATGATTGTTTTTCATTGTACTGAATTATTACCAATCAATTATCTTGTCGACCATAATTGGCTTCTTTTATAATTTCAATGAAGAAGTAACTGTATCAATTGCTTTATAGCTGCCCCAAAACTTTTAGAACTTTGAGTACAAAGTCTCTTAAGGAGACGTAATTTGATGAGTGAGTTTTACATGCATTATTTTCAAAAGAGTTGCAGGTTGAATATTATCACTGCACCAAGGTGCGACTTTTAGTGAATGCTGAGAAAATAACACATCTGAGAAAAAAGTGTGATAAAATAGCTAAATCAAGCTATTCTGAATAGCTTAATAAAGCTATATAGCTAAATCAAGCTATATAGCTAAATCAAGAGATTGTGCCGGACTAGATAGAACATTATCATTAAAATGATATTGTCCTACGGACCCAGTTTAACGATAGAATTCGTTCCGTGTATTAGCAATGTTGCAAAATAAACACGGGCGATAACTCGAACTCTGTGCATTTTCTATGAACAATCCAGAGAGTTCCGAATGTCAACATGGCGTTAAATTTGAAGCGAGGAAAAAACGTTGAGAAAATGAGTTGAATTTTTGACCCAGTTTAACGATAGAATTCGTTCCGTGTATTAGCAATGTTGCAAAATAAACACGGGCGATAACTCGAACTCTGTGCATTTTCTATGAACAATCCAGAGAGTTCCGAATGTCAACATGGCGTTAAATTTGAAGCGAGGAAAAAACGTTGATAATTGAGTTGAATTTTTGTATTTATATGGATTATTTTTTAGGTTAAAAGGCATATACAATCTCAAAAAGGTTTGTTATGATTAACTTGGTTGTTATTTTCAGTGCAACTCCTTTTGTATTCTTCAAAATCATTTCGGAATGGATCCACTCCGATTTGCTACATTGCAAGTATATGGGACGTATTCTAACTGTGGTGAGGGCTTGTCCTGAGTAGGGTTGGATACCGGTACTCGGTACCAATACCGTATACCGAATAGTTACTTAAAAAATACCGGTAAAATACTGTTTCATTTAATACCGGTACTAATAACGGTACTTTTTCTTAATCTTAGAAACATTTTAATACATTCAAAATGATTTAAAACTCGCTAAAATAGAATTTTCCGCACATTGAAAGGATAGGCTAATTAACCAAATGGATGCTTAGTACGACACTTGCTTTCGACTGCCGATATTCGAGGTAAATCAGTACGTATATCTCTTTTATTAAAAAAATTAAATACATTAAAATTAATCGTGTTTTAACTTAATTAATAAAAACTGATAATAAATGTAAATTAAAAAGGCAAAATGTCGCAAATATGTGACGTGCATTTCTATCCATCTTCTAATGTTTCGTTGTTTAGTGCGACCAAACAAAATGGGTCCTAGCAACCACGGAAGTTGTGTATACTTGTGATTATGTATCTATTCAAATTAATTTGAGATTCAATTTATTTGTTTTGTTGGTCATTTATTAAAAGGTTGAAATATAAACATAGTTTATAAGCTCATTTTAGGTTATAACATTGAAAGGTTGATGATTGGTGAAAGCATATTTGTTATGAAATGAACCCTTATTCTCATTCATCAAGGTATAGTACCGTATCGTTAAAAATACCGTATCGTTTCAAAAATACCGGTATGGTATCGTACCATTTCATCCTTAACGGTATCCAACCCTAGTCCTTAGACACAGTTAGATTATTCTAACTAGTGCCGGACCTGTTCTTAGCAAAATCAAACGAAATCAGTTTTATCATTAGCACTTAGAGTCACAAATGCACAATGTTTGATTGTTACAATCTGAAAATAGGCCTACCATAAAAAAATTATCATCTTCATCTATATCATATTTTTATCATCTTCAAACCTACAAGAGGCTTTTCATTCCTCTGCATCACAAATATGAATTAAAAGATATAAATTTACTTACGGTACATATATTTCTTGAATTTCATGACCTTCTGGTGCTTCTGGCTTTTCTACTGCCCTGACTTCCTGAATTTGGCTTTCTAAGACAGCTTCTACACTGACATTTACCGTTGGAGTCGGACTGGGGGAAAATTGTGAGTAGGGAGCCGCCATCTTTGCAATTTGTAAGGTCGATATTATTTTCGAATTTTAATGAAATATAAAAAAATATATTTTTAAAATAAAAAAATGTTGCAGAAATTTTATTGCTAAACTGTTGATATTTCCTAAGATTTTTTTTGCATCTTATACTCTCAAAAAAAAAAATTTTCTCAGGATGATTCGAAACTAATGGTGTTTTTTTTTTTTATCAAAATGCTTTAAAATAATATTTGTCATCTTTTACAAGAAACTCGACTATTAATCATACAATCAGATTAAATAAAGTTCAATTTACGAATTCAACAAAGATAAAATAAAACCCTTTAAACCATGATCCGGAATGCCTTATCATATTCGAGTTTACTTTTAGTTATTTTCCAATCGGATTATTTTACCTAAAACCCAAAAATTTTGACATAATTTGAGCAGATCTGCCGATAGATGTGACAATGTGATACATCATATACCGAGTTAATGTAAACAAGTAGGTATCATTGGAAAATTTTTCAAAAGAATCGTAGAAACAAACTCATTGTAAGTGTTGGTATCTAATGAAAACAAATGTTTTGAAATATTCATTTTTTTGTTCGACACGTTTCCTTCATCTTCAGAAATTACTTTGACAAGAATTAAAAATTTCATTTTTGTTTTTTTTAATTCAGATATGAACATGGAATTGAAATATTACACTGGTTCCAGTATAACCTGACCTTAAACAACAACAACATGGGGACTGGGATCCCACTTTTGAATGAGTACAAGCAGGAATTCTTTGCCAAGAGATTTCCCCAAACCATTCTTGGTGGCCCCAAACTCCGCCTTGGCTACGATGCTCCTATTTATGTGTATATTAACCAGGTTCTACTATTCCTCATTCCATTCATTTTGGGAGGCACGGTCACGCTGCTCGTTGAATTGGACACCATTACCGATGTCACTGGCGTTATTCTGTATGGGTGTCTCATGCTGGTTGTTGTCATGGTTACTCACATTATCACCACTATTGTACAGGTTAAATGTTCATCAGATCTGCCATACCCTACGAAAAAGAATCTTCTGGCTGAGGAAGATGAAATAGATTTCATGTCATGTTGTGGAGTGGAAACATTCGAGTTTATTGTCCCCAGGAAAAAATTCATTGCAAACATTGCCATTCATGCTGTGATATCAGGGTGTATGTGTGGACTTGCCTTGTGGTATCTCTTGCCGGCTACCTTGAATGGATTGTTCAGTAACAATACTGGAGCCACAGTGATTCTATTTATTTTTGGCTGGTTCACTGTGCTTGTGGCCCAGTACCCACTCACAGTGGCTGCACCACCAGAGCCTGCAACATACAGGACAATGGACACATGGGAGATATCTCCTCTGACCAGGCCATTTTATATCCTTGTATTCTCAGCATTTGATCTTCTGTACAGGCGAGTTTAAGCTATTACAGAATTAACTTGAAAAAAAAAAAAAGAAACATAGTGTCAACAATAAGTAAAATTACAGATCTAGTTAAAAATATTTGTCAGTTATTATATTTGTGTTGATTTCTGTTACAGATATGAGAGTCAGACCACCTTCTTGACCACAAATCAGGCCCTCCATATTTTGTTTGTGTTCCTCCCCGTGTTATGGACCTGTGGATTCCTCCCCCCAGTGGACTGCTTCTTCCTGTGGCTGGGTGAGCAGGTCCATGTTCATCTCTTTGGGGGTTCTCCAATGGCTTCAGAAATCAGGTACAATAGAATGGATTACTGCACATCAGATTTGCACGTAACTTATGGTGTAAGAGGTTGCACAATTGTGCATATTTATTTGTTTATTTTTTTGTGGGTTTTATCAAGACTATAACCTAACTTACCATATTCTCCAATGGTTTTTATCAGCTGTTACTGTTTTAGAGAATAGTAGCATATGTTATCAATATATCATAAGCAAACATAGTATTTATTATTTTGTAACTTAAGTCATCACAAATTGATATAAATGTTCAAAATACATGTATATGCAATCATGCTGCTCTGATAGACATGATGGAGGGAGAAATTTCAGTTGCAGACCATTGCTGTGTAGATAGAACCTAACAAACTCACCATTTTCTTTGATACTGCTAATTACATGTATATGTGACTCGACATATATTCTAAAGTTTATTTCTCTGGGAGAGAGATTATTTACATAAGAGATAAACATGCCATGACTAATACTTAAATATAAATGGTTTATGAGGCAATTATATCTGAATAAGTAAATATCAAGCATGAAAATGCTCTGACATCTATAATTATTAAAAATAATTTGCAATATGTTGCCCCCATACTCAGTTGTAATATTTAATATTAACAGAAATGTTTCCATATCACTACTACAAACACAAGCTTTGAAGCAAGCAGCTTATTTACTTGATAAATTCTTGTAAAATAAGAATGATAGATATATCAAAACTTTTTATAGCTATTGATATGATTAATAATCTTGTAGAATTTGATAGACATGAATATTTTACTATTTTCATTAGAATTTTTGTAACATTTAAATGAACATAATCATGATAATAATGTAATAATGGTCTGCAGTGGTCATGATACACTGGCAGAACAGACATGGATTTGGCTTTTGTGTCACTGATGAAGTTACAGAACCATGTGAAACCATATGTATTATTGATATATTGGGTGTATATCATTGTATTATTTTGACTGTTCTCGTTTCAGACTGGTGGTGCTGGTGGTCCTGTCTGTGGGGGTGTACCTGGGAGCCTTTTTCTTTTCCTCCTGCCTGGAGACAGTCCTCCTGGCCTCTCTGTGTGGATACCTCCTCAGTACTGACCTCGGGGGGCTCGGAAACCAAATTATACAAACCATCAGAAACAGAAACAAAGTATCAGATGACCAAGGGGTCATTGCTATGGACACAGGGGTCAAGGGGTTTCTTTGGGGTTGGGGTGTGTTTGAATTTCTGTACCATGCACTGATGCTGGCATTAGTTGGGGTCACAGCAGGATTGTTAAATTCTAATTCACACACAATTAATGGAGATGTTTGGCGGATTCTAGGATATGTGACGATTGGTCTTTGTGTGCTTGAGAAAATATTACGAGATGTCCAGAGCGTTTACATTTTCTTTGGGTTGCTGAGAAATCGTCTGTTCCCAAGAGCTGCCCGCGTAGGTCGACCATTCCATGACAGAAGGAGGAAGATGAAAGTTCTGGGGATCACTCGCAGGATTGTACTGAACTGGGGTGAGTCTTCAGAGATTAACTGATCACTTCATGTGTTCTCGTAGACCACCAACATAATCTTCAGATACAATCATTATCAATTCGTAATTATGACTGTAAATAACTGGAAAAGAATTATGAAATTAATTAGGTCAATGAGCAATCCAATTTAAAAGAAAGAAATGTATATATTCAGCATTTGATGTTACAAATAATTTTCCTAAGTTTCATTATTATTTTTTTTAAATCAGCTTGTTGCAATAATTGTATTCTGTCATGTTTTATAAATTTTATGTCTTTCTTTTCAGTGGCTCCCTTGACCATGCTGGCTTATGCGTCCTTGTTAGTGACCAGTAGTGACCCGTCCTCTGTATCAGCCACTAAGAACCTCAGCACCATCACTTCTGTCTGGTATATTTTTGGTGTGGTGAGGATCTTTAGAGCTGTAAGTTATGTAGCCATTCAGTGTTAGTTCTTATTATTGGGGATCTTTACAGCTGTAAGTCATCTATTCATCACCTTTAGTTGCTGTTATTAGATTTGGAGCATTACAGGAATTCTCTTGTTTCTTATACTTGCTAAGATTATTTTTGAAAAGAAACGCCATGTTTTGAGACCATGTTCTCATTCAAATGCAGAGATCTGAGAAATTGCTTACGGTCAAACAGATATAAACAACGGTGAATAATTGAGGCTTACTTAAGTTTATTACACTGAAATTCTGATTCAGTAGTATGTATATTATGAGAATCTTATGAGTTTACAAGAATATCTGATTCAATAAAAATTTTGTTTATAAAATGTCATAGTAACCATTTTGAAATTAAGTCAATGAAAAATTTTGTATAAAATCTGCCACAGATAAGCATTTTATCCATTTTAGAAATGTCTAATATCTGGTTATTGTAAAATCACTTATTTAAGGGGGGTCAAATTTTCATGGTTTGAGGAAAACATATATATTCTTGGGGATTTAATTTCATTGTTGATGAAGAAATATTATACATGTACATAACTGTGGTTTGAAATTTTTACATTTTATGGAAGATATGAATTCATTGGTCTCTGCACTCCACGAAAAACAACAAAAATTAACTCCTATAAAAATAGTGACCCACAGTGTGTATGTTATATCTGCTAAAGATATATGTTATATCTGTTAAATTTGTGTAACATTTGTTATACATTTGTGATATATCTGTTATAGATTTGGCAGAATACAGCCAACAGCCTGTTGGAGATCTCTATCACACACATCATCCTGGTTACCGTGACATCAACCTCTGACCTCATACTCTTCCCAATCCTCTCTCTCCTGATTGGTCTGTGCAGAGACAGAGCCACCCAGTTCCTGAACAAGCTGTACTTCTGTATGACTATCCTGATCACCTCCTGGACAGATAAGAAACAGAGGAGGGGATCCACAGTGGCCCTGATTGGGGTCTCCGTGTTTTTATTCCCCCTGGTCCTCAGCATGATCACCCTGGCCTCGGCTCTGTCAGCCCCACTCCTTCCTCTGTTTACACTGCCTTTGTTTGTGATGGGGTTTCCCCGTCCTAATAAGTTCTGGCCAGAGGAGGTGGGGGCCTCAGCTAATGTGAATCCTGACACCATGTTCTACAAACAGCTCACACCAGTGTTGAGTGGGGCACTCAGAACAGCGTTTGCAGATGGAAGATTGGGTAAGTAGAAATTTCTTGCTTTAGGTATTGCAGCTGATCTACATGTATGTTTTCATGTTGTGGCCATGTTAAAATTTCTTGAGCAGGTCCATTCCAACATATGTCATATATATTATACTTTAAAATTGACGAAACTTGAATAAATGATGCATCTAAAGATACATACTACATGTAACTGCCTTGCATATGATATCAAAAGTGTAATGTAATTTTAGTTATTTAATGAAAGGCCTAAAATCTTCAACTAAATATAACTAAATAAATGAATCTCCTGTACATTCACTTGCATGAGACTTTGCCTTGTACTTAAAGGTACATATATATGACATTCCTCAGCTTCATAATCTTTAATTACTTACTTGTATGTTTTTCTCTTACTAATCAGACAGATGTTTGAGTAAATATTCAGGTTTTGAATGCTTTATTTGTTTCATATGTCAGATATCTTTTATTTCAGGTGAGGCATGTGTTGGGAATCACTACTTGGTGAGGTACCAGGATCGACTGGTGTGGATCATGATTCTGGAGCGAGGAGCGGGCTACTGTACAGTCAGCATTAAGGGCTTGGAGCTTCAGGAGACATCATGTCACACAGCTGAAGCCGCCAGATTGGATGACATTTTCGAGGAGGCCTTCCCAGAAGACTTTGGCTATTTTCCAGTCAATCATTATCCATTACACACTCTGACACTGGTGGATGTTGAGCCGATCAAGACATACTCAGACGCTCGGAATGTCCTGACTGGAATCATAGACCAGCCAGGAAGTTTTGATATCACTATGTCATCCTTTATAAAAAGCCTTGTGTGGGTTTTACTGCATCATGTGAATAAACTGAAAATTAAGGAAAGAGAGAAAAATAAAGACAATGTGAGGAAAGGAACAGGAAGTGAAAATAATAACAATGTGTCAGGGAGAATCTCAAAGGCTTCTATTCATCACAAGGACAGAGCTGTGATAGCTATGGAGACTTATGCTGGTAGGCCATCTTCCTCTCAGCAGAATAAAATGAACACCTCCTGGGGGTCACTGGGAAGTTTTACTGACAGTATTTTCTCTGAGGATGAGTTTACAGACAGAAAGAAAACAAACACAAAGAAACAGGAGCCAAAGAAGTCCATATCTCCAGCATTTGGGGCACCTGCTAAACCTGTTAGCAAGTTTGATGATGATATTGAGGATTTAATGAATGACTTTGAACTTGGGCTTCCAGCCTTAGACAAAAATAAAAAGACATTAGGGACTATCTCAAAGTTTGAAAGTAAAAAGACAAGTAATGGAATCTTTAAACCAGTGACAAATTTGGCTGGTTCCCCTGATTTTAAATGTTCTCACTCTGTGCATGTGAGTCTGCCCCAGAAGTGGCGAGAGTTGCCTCTGGAATCCTCCCAGGTGTCTAGATACCTGTCTAAGTTTCCCAAGGATTGGTTCAAGTATGTACTGGGGACACTAGACTGGTCAGGTGTAGAAGGACCTGTTGACCAGGTCAAAGATCAGATCGCCAGAGACGATGTCCTGATTAACTGTTACTCTCAACTTGTCATGGCCTGCTACTCCATATTTGATACCAACTGTAAGTTTATGATTTGAAATGATTTCTTTAATTTTGAATTATTTTCTATGTACATGTATTTATTGAAGTTTATCTGTGAAAGTCCAGTCTATGATTATTTTCTTATTGATTTGTTTTGTAGCCTCAGTGGGTGGTGCCAGCACTTTATATAAATTCTATGTTGGTGATCTGCCTTGGAATGCAATGTTAGACTGGTTGTCAGAAGACAAGGAGCTTTATAAATTAGTTCTCAAGGCATACAGGTAATATACAGTATTATCCAAAACTTTATGTCAGATTTATGTAAATCACCAAAATGCTTCATTTATCAACACCTTGTTGATAATTTTACCCTTCAGTCTTACTGATGTAAACCAATATATTTACAGTATAGAGTATCAATTACCAGATTAAGATTATCTGCTCATAACTTAATGATTGAAAACAAGGAAGATATAATAAAATTGTGAGAAATAATAGAACATGTAATCTTTGCCAATTAGGGGACATAGAAGATGAATTTCATTTTGTGTTACAATATCCACGTTATATACATTAAGTCAAAAATACATAAAAAGTTTTTACTCCCGAAGACCAAGTGTCTTTAAATTAGTACAGTTACTTAGTACACAGAATGTGAAAGAATTATGTAATCTAGGAAAATCTTTGCAATTAGCAAGTACAACAAGAACAATGTCTTTAACTAATTTATTAATTATTGAAATATCATTATATTATATATTGTACATGTTGGATGTTAGTTTCATCATTATATGTACTAAATGTATGATTGTAAATATTGTCTATGAGATGTATGTCTCTTGATTTTAATAAACTGAAACTAAGGTCATGTCATACATATTTATATAATATTCTTTGTGTAATTAATCACTTCCTTCAATAACATCCTACAGGTAATTTACCATCACAGCCTTCAAATAATTTATCAAGATACTTATATAATCACAGTTTTAATATGTGAAATATTTTTGGAAACTTCTTACGATAACAACCTAAGGAAGTCCATTACTAAAACAGACCATACTTTTTGATATAAATTACTGATACGTCCCTACATCTTTATAGGTATGGATTTAAGATGATGCTTGATCAGACTCTGATGGGGGAAGCCACCACCCCCGGGGAGTTTGAGGAATATCTGATGGAGTTTGACAAAGACTGGTACATCGGACTGGAGAAGGAGGAGGAATGGAAGTCCTCAGTCCTCAACTCAGTCCCCAACCTGTTCTCTCTGGGTCATAACAAGGCACAGGTAATAATAAAATAACACAGGTGACAATTAGGAGTGAAACGGTTCACCGCGGTATCGATTCACCGCAGTATTTTTTCTGGGTTTGATACACGGTGCAAAATCTCTAATTTTCGGTTCGGTTCATTTTTCGTTCAGGATCGTTATTCAGTCGGGTTTTGCATAAGGTAAAACATGTTACTCAGTATAAATAAGTATAGAATACGTAGATTTTTGATGACTGATAGGCTATTATTAGCTTGTAAAATAATTTTTGACAGTCAAATAATTTTAATCAATTTCTTCTAGTCAATTTGCAAATAAAATTCGTAAAATATGTGACTAGATTTAGAAAACGAAAGCATAATAACAACATTGAATTTGTTTCCTTCTATAAAATGAATCGAAAATAACCGAACCGAGACAAAATTATACAATACATATCGAACCGTGAAGGAGGTGTATCGTTTCACCCCTAGTGACAATCTGTTCTCTGGATCACAAGGCACAGCTAATGTTAATTTGAAACAGATAACAACCTGTTGTACCTGGGTGATAACAAGGCACATTATAATAAAATAACACAGGTAACAGTCTGTTATCTCTGGGTCACAACAAGGCACAGGTTATAATAAAATAAAAACCTGTTGTATCCGGATCAAAACAAGGCACATATGATAATAAAATAACACAGATAAAAACCCCTTTCCTTCTGGGTCATAACAAGGCACAGGTTATAACAGAAAAACACAGGTAACAACCTCTTCTGCCTGGGTCATAACAAGGCACAGGTAATAATGAAATAACACAGGTAACAACCTGTTCTCCCTGGGTCATAACAAGGCACAGGTAAAATAAAAGAGATCATTGAGGTGATAAAAGAGAACAACCTGTTCTGCCTGGGTCACAACAAGGCACAGGTATTAATGAAATAACACAGGTGACAACCTGTTCTCCCTGGGTCATAACAAGGCACAGGTAAAATAAAAGAGATCATTGAGATGATAAAAGAGAACAACCTGTTCTGCCTGGGTCACAACAAGGCACAGGTATTAATGAAATAACACAGGTAACAACCTGTTCTCCCTGGGTCATAACAAGGCACAGGTAAAATAAAAGAGATCATTGAGATGATAAAAGAGATGACTTTGACAACATGTTTTGAAGTCAAAATCAGGACAAAAATTTGTAATGGAAAAAACTCTTCTTATGAATTATCACTTACATGTACTTAATTTTAATATTGATAATAAATGGAGTGGATGCATTTTCACAGCATTTAAAACAGTATACATTTGCTAAGGAAATCATTATTTACAGGGGACATATAGCAGTCGGCTGCTGACTCTGCAGGAGGAAATGGTGTACATAGGACGTCTTAACAGCGAGGCTGTGAAGGGACAGTGGGCTAACCTTAGTTTGGAGTTACTCTACTTCACCAATGATGACGAGGAACGATACAGTATACAAGCCCACCCCACAATCCTCCGTAATCTTACCGTACAGGCTGCGGACCCACCCCTCGGCTACCCTATCTTCTCCTCCAAACCCATCACCATACCCACTGTGTGACATTACAGTACTCCCTTGGGTCTGTAAGACATCACCATACCCTATCTGTGTGTGATGTTATGGAAATCCTCTGGACCTTTATTGCACATTGAAGGAATTCCCAGGATGGACGGTCAGCCGTTGGTTTTAAACATTTGAACAAATGCCCTACAAAGCCGCTGAAGTAATTTTTCTTGGATAAAAATATATATCATCACCCCATCCTTGGCTCTGAGTATCTAGTCTTTTTTATGGCTACATGTTCTGCCCAGACACAGTGTCTATTTTTTGAGGATTTACTCTAAGTCTATGAGAGGATTTTCTTTCAGTGAATTCCTCTTGTCATAGCTCTAAAAAATTTGTACAAATCTTTTAGCCACCTAAATGTATTTATACATTGTGAAACATGAGTACCTCTAATCCTGTACATAAACATGCCATGTAAATATTATGTTCTAGAAATAGGTGCACTCATTGTATCATGTATATTCTCATTGTATCATGTATATTTATATTGTCTGTTAATTTATAGGTCATATTGAACTCTGAAGAAGCATTTGCTCTGTGATGTCTGTGATAAATTGATATTTTTACTTATTTATCAGAAATTTCCATGCTTTTATTTATCCCAGCGATTTTAAATTGTTTTCTACACTCAAAAATTTTGATCCCAAGAATTGTTACAGGTTCATATTGCTTAAAGATGTTTGTAGACTGGAAATACAAGCAAGCACAGGTACACAGTCATAAAATCATTTTCTTACTGATAACATATTATATTAATATTCTTTTTAGCGGCCATCGGCAGAAAACAGCTTCCCCTAAATTACGTACACTAAATGTTTAAGTAATACTATTTATTCATGTCTAGCATATTCAGATACTGTAAACCAACTATTATTCGCGTCATCTTTTATTCGCGATTTGGTTGTTGAAAATCAATCCGTGGCGATTAATTTCCATGACTCAGGAAACATTATCTACAAATACAAAGCAAAATAAATGGTTCGCGGCGATTAATATTCGCGAATAAATGTAGGTCGCGAAACTCACGAATATTAATCGCACACAAATAAAAGTTGGTTTACAGTATGCTATGAATCAAGTTTATGCTTACGTTGAAAAAGCAATTTCCGCCAAATATCATACATGCTGAATAAACTACATTTACCATGTTTACAACTAGGGGTAGGTTATGTAGATGAAGACATTTTTCTGGTTGTTAAGATCAACCACTTGTGCATAGAAGTCATTGTTTGTAAAATGCTTAGGGCATTATATGCAATAAGTAAATTTTCATACATAATTGTATTCATCAACTTCAGTTTGTGACCAGCTTTAAATGATATGATATTCATCTTTTGATGTAATGCCAAATATACAGAATATCAAGAAGAAATAAGAAGTATTTTAATAGAAAATTTTTATCTTTTTTATTTTACCCACCATAAAGTTTATTTTAACAGTTGCACATCTGTTATTTGACAACAAATATACTCAGAGAGAGAAGTGTACATGTTTTCTTTATTTTATAAACATTTGTGAGCTTTCTCTGTTGAAAGAAATTACTTTAAGAATTGTACAAGAAAAACCTGTTTAAGTTTTTGAAGCATGATGGAGATGTTAAATATATATGTTTTTATAACTTGCAAAGAAATTGTCAAAGTTTCCATTTAATTGAAGAGTGTACATGCATTTGAACAAAAAAATCTATGGAAAGAGTAAAATACATTATTCTTAAATTTTCAACTTGATGCAAATTGTTCTGAAATAAAGTCCCAACATCAGGTATATTGAAATTAACCAACACAACAATGAAATCCTGTCCCATTTTTTTTTAGAAAAAAAGGGGGGGAAAAATGGAAGCATGCTAAGTTCCATGTTAAAACTGGTTTTTATTTCCTCCATTGTTTTTCATAAATAGGGAGGCAATGTGTTGGTGTATAGGAGCATCCATATGATTTACTGAAAACTCCGTTTTATTAATATGTTGTTGTTTTTTTTTAAATCCATGAATGAATAATTATTTTGTGTTTCATTGCACAGTAGTTTTTATATGACTGACAATTTATGTAACAGCCCCAGGTGTTAGGAAGCATGATCACTAGATAAATCCGTACATGCAATGTTAGTACACCCTTTTTGTATGTTTTGATGCTTTTATTATTTCCGTCCACATCTGAATATTATTTTTAAATTTTTGTTTTGCGTTTTAATGATTTTATATACAGTATTTTGATTTTTTTATCACTCTATCTCTATTATACTCGAATAGTTGTGGGAAAAAAATGGTTAGAGTTCAAAACAAAGGAAATGGTTACTTTTTTAAATTTGAGAAATTTCACATCAATTATAAATTTTGGTTAAGTGAAAAAAAAATCATAAAATTTCCTATTCATTGTAAAATATAATGGTTCTACACAATTCACCAGACCTTTCCACTTCTACATAAATAATTCTTTAGTTAATCACAAAAAAAGGTGAAGGGTAAATGCACAGCTCTTAAACTGCTAAAATATTTTCCATACATTTCTTACAAGTGTTTGTGAAATGAACTTTTTTGTGACAACATGGTTTTGTTGGAGGCAGATGAATTGTCTATTTTTGTATCTGATGTAACTTGAAGAAGTGCTGTAATACATGTATGTGTGCTGACTCTAGTCTTGTCTAAATAAAACTCTGTACTGAATTATATCTCTTACTGTGTTCTTCTTGCAGTACATCTGACTGACTGACTGGTGGTGAGTCAAAAGCTCAGGTGAGGTTATCTGATCAAAGCTTAGCCATCCGTCCATTAACTTTTCAAATCTTGGGAACCTGTGAACCAATTTCAATTAAATGCGCTACAAATCATCTTTGGGTGATGAGAACTCGTTTGTTTAAATGAAATTTCCTCATTCAGAAGAGGGAGGGGGTAGGAAATATGTTGGGGTCATGTTATCTTCTCAAGAACCAATGGGTCAGGGCAGACAAAATGTATATGATTATTTCTTAAAAAGACAAGCGTTCAGTCTTGAGGAAGTAAGTGTTGTACAGACAATTATTGCTACTTTATCAGAATGTTAAAGATTGTCAAAAGTTTTTATTCAAATTTATCTGCAAATCTTTTTTTTAAAAGTCTCCCTTAAGATAGGTAAGATTTTTATCATCTACAATTGTACAGGCTCTCATAAAACGTGAAGGGCATGAACAAATTTTTTACTCCATCTCAATTATGTGGCATTAATTAATTAGAGGAAGCTTAAGCCACATGAAAAAAGCCTGATATGAAAATGCTATTTAGATGTCAGGCATCAGTATTTTCAATAACAATTTTAAAAACATTTTTTATTTATTTATTTAACTTTATTATTCTTTAGAAACACCTCCGTCATAAATTACCAAAGATCCATGAGATACGGAGTTCACCCGAGTCGCCTAAAAAAACAGATGTGGAAAGTCATGATTTTATTTTTCCAAAAAAAATGGACAACTTATATGAACAAGGTTTAAATGAGGTAACTCTCACTCGGATAATTTATACGATTGTCAAGTTAAAAGACAACTTCTTTAAAATTTTGGCCGACAAGGAATGTGGAAATTGTGTGTATACTACGTATGAATGAGATATATTTTTGGAAAATTGCTTGCAAAATTTTTCAATCGTAAAAAGAGCTTAAATGAATTTCTACAAAGTTAACTTTTTTTTTTATTAAATAACAATCACAACGTGAAGTTGTGTCATTTAACAGTTTAAGAACCCACACTCCTGAACACCAGAGAATTCTGATTCAGTGTTATTTTTATGAAGTTAAAATTCTTAGCATTTTAATAGGCCAAGATAAATTTATTGAGCACTTTATTTGCATGTTTTCTCCACTTAATTAAACAAGAACAATAATTTTTGTTCATCAATACTTTTTGTCTTTTAACCTTTTTTCATGGGGGCAACTGCCAGGTACCCTATTTTGAAAATAAAATAGATAAGCTTAATAATTACACCTTAATTTATTTAATATATCTCAGTATCCAAAATACATTTTGCTCTTCAGCATCAATAAAGGATCACTACTCAAGTCAATCACAACCAAGTCAGGGAAAATGCCATCTGACATAGCAGTGACAAAAAGTGGAGATCTAGTTTATACTGATTCCAGTGATAGAACTGTGAACATTGTGAAGAATAAGAAGATAGAGGAGGTGATCAGACTACAGAACTGGATACCTACAGGTGTCTGTAGTACCTCCTCTGGTGACCTCCTGGTTATCATGTGCAGTGATGATTACAAACCAACAAAAGTTGTCTGTTACTCTGGTTCCACAAAGAAACAAACCATTCAGTTTGATGATAAAGGTAAACCTCTCTATTCATCTGGTATCTATTACAGATACATTACTGAGAACAGGAACCTGGATATCTGTGTGTCTGATAGTGGGGCTAAAGCATTAGTAGTGGTTAATAATTCATGAAAATTTAGATTCAGGTATACCGGACATATTCCGTGTCGAAAGAACAAACCTTTCACTCCACTGGGTATCACCACAGACAGTCAGAGTCACATCCTTACAGCTGATTATATCAATGACTGTATACACATCATAGATCCATATGGACAGTTTCTCGGTTACATAGATTGTGCACTGAATTACCCCTATGGACTGTGTACAGATACAAATGATAACTTGCTTGTTGCTTAATATGCAAACAAACAAGTAAAAAAAATCAAATACCTGAAGTGAAATTCAACACTTTCATTAACAATGTGACATTGATCTACACTAAATGACCTATGGGCAGGAACTTTGCATGTTCTATGATCGTAATCAATTCATAGCCCAAGTATGATTTATACTTAATGTGCCATTACAAAATTATGGAATGGAATAAAATTTTACACTTCAAACCAAGTGACCTTGGCCTTCTACAAATGACCATGGTGCATGTTTGGTACACATCAACCGATCAAAAGCAACCTTTATGTCTAGTATCATCTATTCATCTTTGTCCTTGTAAAATGTATGGACAATGCAAGCTTTTTACCCCACTTTTGCAACCTGTTACCAGTCAGTATATAACAACAAACACAATCATAAGCTACTTGTTCTATTGTCTCTACACAGCTGATGACTTTCTGTCTTAAAAAATACACTAAAAGCATTCAAAAAGATTAAGTACTGTGTTAATTTTTTTTATACCGAAGACTAGAATATTTGATGATTTATACTGCAACTTGGAACTTTGATGGTCTAGTAGCATTTAACAATACTCTTTTAAAAAGGAATGTATAAGTGGAAAGATTGATGATGATTTTAAGTTAGTCATTTGTCAATTTCATCAGTTTTTACATTTATAGTATATAGCATAAGAACCTTTGTCAAAACAATACACAGCTACATGTACATATTACCGTTGTTTTCTGCAAACGTAATGCTTTAGGGAATGATAATTTCAGATATCAGTACATTGTCAAATACATACAGAATACGACGCAATTATATACACATACTTGAACTAACAATTATCAGATTAATTGAATCGACACATACATGTATACCCGATTGGCTGAATTAATAAACATACCTGATTGGTTGATCTGACACAAATACCTGATTGGTTGAATTGACACATACATGTATATCCAATAGGTTGAATTAACAAACATAACTGATTGGCTGAATTAACAAACATTCCTGATTGGTTGAATTGGATTTCCTGTTTATTTGTTTCAAGAATCAGCGTAATTTTAAACCCACGGATTACATAAAAATTGTGATTCCGCAGAATTAAACACTGTAGAAAAAGCACATTTACAGAATATTGTAGTTAGTGAAACTAACCCCCTTTGAGATCAGCTGAGACTCCAATATACTCAAAATTATCTATGTTTATCACATCTATGACTCTAGGACTCACGACTCCAGTTCTGTCCTGGAATTATCACAAGAAGACATTTGAATAAAGTCAAAAATGAATTACATATACTAAATGATTTACAGGTAGAAATTTTGTCAGTTTCCTGTTATACATGTTTTTGTTTGGAAATTATTACACCTTACTTGATTTCATCAATATCTATTTTCAACATAGTTACATTACAATTCCAAATTGTTTCTGTATTGGCTTTTGTGACCTAGTTTTATACCAATATCAATTTGAGCATACTCAAAAAATTATATTCCTTGCTTCATTATTTTAAGTGCTATATCCAATGTTTCTTTCTAAAAATTATGGATTAGACTTATATACCAGTGACCTGGAACTTGGCCAAATGACCTTGGGTTAAGGTCCTAACTCAAAAGAAATCTTCGTGCGAAGAATGAGCTAGGAGTGTTTACAAGATATGACCAGGACTGGGCAGGAATAATAAATTTGTTTTTAAAGTGTCCTTGAACTTGCGAAAATGACCTTGGTCTAAAGTCATGATATACATATGTACCCCTCTGGTCATGAGTTATCCTTGTTTAAAGTATAAAATAAACTTCTAATGTTTCTTCATTAGAAAAGTTATGAATATCACTTTTATACTTCTTCTGCCAGTGACCATAACATTGCCCAAACAACCTTGGATCAAAGATATTGCATATTCTCAGTTCTGAAGTACTGTATATACTTGCCCATTAATCGGTTCACTTACAAGTCGGCTGTATTTTTTTTAGATTGTTTTGGAGGATTTGCAATTGACCCGCTTATAATCCGTGTAGATTTTTGTCAGAATCTGCAGTCAATTTCAGATTAATATTCTATTGTATTGACCTGTGTTTCAAAGCATATTTTGGGGTATGACATCAATATTTGGTCTTTTATTAACAATGTAAACAAATATGATTATAAGATCATTTAAATCTGTAAGCACTTTTGTTAAGTGCATGGGCCAATCTTAGATCTTCCTTTCCTACTTTAGATTGTTTCGACCGTTATAAAACATTATCGTTGGAGTTGCTACAATATTACTACATTTCTTTTTCCAGAAAAATACCCAATTTTTCTAAAACTCGCTTATAAGTCAAACATAATGTTTTGGATCAAAATTTAACTCCAGAATTCCAACTTCTAGCGAGTAAATATATTAATGTTAGACTTGAAATTTTCCTAAAGAAAATGGCGGAACTGACACGATTTAACACTTCTTTTCCCATTGACAATGAACATGCCCAAATGACCCTAGTTTAAAGTAATGATACATTCTCATGTCAGGCGTAAAGTGTGTAAAGTGCAGTTTCCATTGTTTCTCCATTAGAATTTATTAATGGGACACAAATTTTATACTTTTGTAAGTAATCTTGATCTTGCTCCAATGACCTTAGATCAAAGTCACAAAACAATCTCAGGTCATGTAATATTAGATTTTATTTTTTTACAATCAGTTAAATTTCAATGCCAGTACATACAATACCTATGTAATGTAATTTTTAGTCACTGAAGCCATGTACTAGGACGAAATAAGAGCTTCCCATCAAACAGCACTTAAGATATTTAATCGATTTCAATGTAATAATATTGTGTATACTTTATTTTCTGCAACAGACAGAAAGAACTTAAATACCCATACAGAAATTCTCGGAAAGCTGAGCTGTCATCAGTGTGGGATATTGATGCTCATTGGCTATGAATTGTGAACATTGAACAACAAGGTCGAAAAAAGTCATTGTGGAAGATTTTCCATCAATTTAACTATAGTGTATATAGTCGCCCGCGTGGGGCAGTGGTTAGAGCGTTCGCTCTAGAGTCGCGGTGTAAGGAGTTGATCCTTACGTCGCGGGTTCGAATCCCACTGTGGGACGTAGAGACCGGTCCTTCGGATGAGACCGTATAAACAACAGACATATAGAGAGGGTCTATTATAAACCGAGGTCCCGTGTCGCAGTAGGTGCTGGCACAAAAAAGATCCCTCACTGCTCAATGGCCCTGAGTGCCGAGCATATATCAAAATTTGCAGCTCTCCACCGGCAAGTGGTGGCGTCTCCATATGAGTGAAAAATTCTCGAGAGGGACGTTAAACAATAAACAAACAAAACAAAAACTACAGTGTATATAGTTATAAATCCTTCATCGTGATTACATTTTCTAAACCTTAGGCATGCTATACATTTACATTCAAATTCTATCTTTAAACATTCTACTCTTGTTTTGATTAGGATTTTTTCGAATTTTTTATCCATTTTATTATTCTGCAATAGACGACAAGACCTAAAAAATCCCATACAGAAATTCTCGGAAAGCTGAGCTGTCGTCAGTATGGGATATTTATGCTCATTGGCTATGAACAGCGAACAACAAGGGATCGAAAAAAACTCATCGTAGAAGATTTTCCTTCAAGTTAACTATATAGTAAAATTTTGGTTCTATCTTTAAACATTCTACTTTATTTTTGATTAGGATTTTGTAGAATTTTTTTTTATCCATTTTAATATTCTTTAATATTTTGTGCAACAGTCATTCATTTTTTTTCCAACTTCTTTAGCAATACAGAAGACTATTAATTATCTCTTAATTAAAATGCTGTATTTGGTACATTTCGCGTTTCTTTTATTGGTTCAAAGAGTTTTCTACATTATTCAGCTATGAGAAGGGAAGATGCTAAAAGAGTAAAAGTTAAAACGGTTTCAAAATCTCTGTGATTGAAATAATATATAAGAATTAATTGAGGGCAGAGATACTCGAAAAAGTTGAAATAATACTAATATTTTACATTTCCTGTAATCTGCAGGCCTCGGTAACAAATGTCAATGGACACACATTCTTGATCCATATTCTCTATTTAGTAAATTTACACGAGATCTCTAATAAATACTTGAAGAAAAAAAATATGAATTTGCTGGGGACATTTGGTTTTTAAAAATAAATGAACAAAAAAATCTGTCTTTATGTTTATACTAGTATTCAGAAATGATGTTTGTTTCAATTTCACAAGATTCAAGTAATTAATTTGAAGATAATTGTAATTAAGTTAGTAAAGTCCCGATTGTACTTTTTTCTTTATCTCAGCAGTCTCGTTTAAAGTCATCATTTCGTAAGTTCTATGGTCAATACAATGACCTTGTCAACAAATACAATTTATGATTGACTCAAATGCTGACTGACTTTTTTCATACTTATTGTTAGGCCATTATTTACACACTGAATTGTCGACGGATTTTTCCGTTATTTCCCGATCATGACAAGGAGCACACGGCGGGTGTATCCGGTCGGCAGGGGATGCTCACTCCTCCATGGCACCTGATCCCACCTCTGATGTCTTAGAGGTCCGTGTTTGCTCTGCTCCTATTTTGTAATATTTAATGGACTTTTGAGCTCGAATACTGTTCATTATCTCCACATATTTCATCTATTTGAAGATGAAGCTTGTCATTTTCTTTTTCATTCTCACGAATATATTATTCATTTAGCTTGTTACAAAGAAAACAAACACAGAGATTGAAAGCCGAGCTTTATTATTAACAGTAAACTGTTTTCCATATCTAAGAAATGGGGAGCCATTACCAACTGCTACATAAGATTGTATCTTAATCATAGAGATCATTGTACAGTTAAATTATGATTTATATTTCAGATAAAGCCATGTTTTTATACGTATTACTCAATATTTGATGTATAAATTAACAGTTAATGAAATAAGAGAATTTATGCCATGTTAACACAATTTTCGGAAAAATTCATTTCAATAAACTAATGTTCATGTCATGTTTTTTTTTAAATAAAATAAAAAGTCTCCTAAAAAACAAGTAATAATCAATAAATACATGATGACTTCCCAGTGATAAACCAAAATGAAATTAGAAACAAGTAAGGAAGAAATCATTAGGTATATCTAAGGCTGGGATGATACACTTTCTTCTGTACATTAGCCTTAGGTCGGATTAAGATTACGGTATTAAAACGCATATCATTCTGATACACAGAATCAATATTTCCAGATATTGTCCAGCCCTAGATATATCCACTAATTCATTCACAAAAACATGTGCACTTTTTTGAAACATATTCAAAAATCTCAAAAACATCTCTTTAAAGTATAATTACTAAACAATTGCAAATTGAAAATTATCACATAAAATCACATTATATAACAACTAACAAAGATGAAAATTTAAAAACTAAATATAAACTACACAAACTTACATGAATGGAAGCTCATAAAATGACTGAAGCAGTTTGGTTGTAACACCATTGCATACTTAAAGTAAAACAGATGTAAGTACCAAATTGATAAGCTTTAAAATTAAACTGGGCACATTTTAAGTACATGAAAATTTAACCATGGGATAACTTTCAACATGTACACAAGAAGAAACTAATAAACCAACTCAAGTCTTTCTTAATCCTCAGTGAAACCTGTAGGTAATGCAGAAAAAGTAAGGCCATTTCAATTAACTATGTAAGGCCTTTCCTATTATAAATACCCATTAACTAATGTATTTAAGTAATCCTTGAAAACAAAACTTTAAAAAAAATCTTGAATGCATTTGTGAATCAAACTTACATTAAACTTTTTTCTAAAATTCCATATATTCCATATATAAGCCTTTAATTTTTCTTTTCTATTTGATACTTTATAAAAACATTAACAGAATCAGATATTTTGATATACTATGTAAATTACTAGAGATTAAAGCAGACCTTTGACTCCTTGACTCAGTGAGAAAACAAATGTGGAAGACTGGTGGGTAGTTAAGAGATGCGGACTGAATCCAGGCTCCTGATACATCATCATGTGATGGAGCACAGGAGAGCTCCTCAAGGAAAGATATCAATTTTCGTTTGAATTTCCTCTGTTCAAAACAAAGCAGCTATTTTGATGTTGAATTTGGCACACTAGTGTAGGTGTTGGGGTGGTGTAATTAAAACTATCACACAGTAATTAAAGCACTCTCTCTAATTCAACAATCCCCATATCTCCATGCAATATAAAAATGCATGATAATGCAAAAGATTATATACTTACAAACTTTACCATTGACTTTATTTCATAAAATATATAATATTCCCTGGCAGGTAGAAATCGGCCAAAAAAAATTCCACAATCATTTGAAAATTCATTTGACATTTTAGTTGATCTAGATATGTTTTGTGAATAATTGATTGCTGCAATATATATTGTATGTCTGAAATGTATTAATGCATTTAAAAAAATGAATCAATGTAATTATATATGATTAATGGTGTCATTAGGATTAATTACAAATTGACCAAGAAACAAAAAACTTATTAAGTACATTTAATTGGACAAAGAATGTCAATGCATTGACTATTTGTATAGGAGAAAATTCTCTAAATTACAAGACTTGTTGTTTCAAAATTTGTGTAAAATTCCAACATATTTATTATGTGTTTACTTACTTTGAAGAATGATTTAAAGCATGCAAAAAAATTAATGAAGGTCAATGAATGCTAAAAATAGCTCTACAAGATCAGATGTTAAATTAAACCCAATATACATTTGCAGAAAAAATGGAATTCAATGACTTTTATATACGTCTAATGGTTTTGATCTCTAAACAGATCAGATATTGGTTTGATGATGATAAAGCTGTATGTATAAAGGTATACATGTATCACAAAAACATTCAATATAATGTCATGCATTGTCAATATAAATGTAAGCATGCATAAGAAACAAACATTTTACAACCTACAGCAATTAAACTGGAATGATAATTGTTTATAAACACAATTTAATCACACTTAAGCTGACTTAAAGTCAAACCACATACAACATTAAATAAATCTTAAAATTTCATAAATTATCTTAAGAACACAAAAAATCAAAATATGTAAACAACTTCTTCAACAATTCAAAATCATAAAGACCTAATCACTCTAATTAAACATACCAATCTTTTTATAAGAAATGAAGGTGTAAAATAAATAAAAACCATAAAATAATGGTTTTCTTTTTCACAATCTTTGATTGTCAGCTGTAGTGAAGAGATGGATGACTAGAGTTATTCCTCTTTGTTGATAGACCTGAGGAGTTAATGCCCTTTGGTGGGGAGAGTTATCCCCCTTTGCTGATGGCAAAGCTCCACTTTTGTGATGTTGACCCTGGCTGACAAGCATTCACAATCAGTCCCTTCATCTGGACCTCCTGACTATCTATACACAGGTCATAATTATGACTTTTTAACATGGTATCACTGTTGATTCTCTCCCAGATCTAAAAAATTCAGACAGCCAATTCAATGAAGCTCATTCCTTTCTATGGATCAAATGTAGAAAAAAATTTCAAACAGTTTGAAATTTCATTTTGAAATTTGCTTTACAATAGCAATTACATGTAATAATTCAAAATGAAAAAAGTTACACCAAACACACATAATGTGTGATAATTTTATTATTTTTCAGCATTATATGCAATTTCACAAAAACAAGAATATCTATTATTAGAAATGATCAAATATACCGGTAGTAGAGTTTACTGTGAACAACTTCACTGTTACATAATAGAACTGATCAAAGAATACTGTCGATGACAAAATTATTAATTAGATCAACTATTCTATGCAGTAATTAGGTCAGTTAATTTCACCTGCAGAGTATTGCCCTCCTGACATTGGAACAGTTTGACAACAGTCCCTGGCATACTGCCAGTCAAGGTCACACAAAGGTCAAGGTGACGTATAAAGCCCTCCTTTGTCAGAGAAAACTCCTATGGAAAAAATTTGTCATTTATATTAAAGTACAAATAATCAATCAATCACATAACTTATTTCTTTAGAAAAATTAGGTTATATGCATTTTGATTAACGTAAAACACAAAGATATATATGTAGTTCATGCCTATAAAGTAAAATATGCATAATACAAGAAAAGGTTATAGCAAGTTGTTGATAGATTTACATATTGTATATATAAGTACTGATAAAAATATTCTCTAGTATACACAACAGACATTCATTTTACATCTGAAATAAACTGATAAAATAGACCTACCGTTAACATCAAAACAACTTTATATTACATATCAAAGATAGGTAGAAAAAAAAAGGCAGGGCAGAAATAAGACTCATGGGCCTTGAGTGTTATCTAAGTATCATGAGAATTCCAAAGAGACATTAAAAACATATCAGGGTAAACTACAACTCCATTACCCAGATTTCTCTCAACAATGAACCTTTTTTTAATTTCAAACTTGCTATATGTACACAGAGATGATATTTTGGAACTTTTCCTTACAATGATCTTAACCTTTTCGAAAAGACTCATCATTGAATGCAATTTGAATTTTACGAGAAGAATTATAAGAGTTTATATTTACAGGTGTAGAGTTTCATAAGGATAGGGACCATGAAATTTATGATGTTTGTTCCCCTTCACCCATACCAGCCATGTACATATATAATGACATTGGTTGAAATTGCAGAAAAAAAGATGAAAATAACTCAGAGTTTACACCTTTGTACAAGACAGATATAGAAACAGATTGCAATAGGACCTCTAGTTGATACAGGTGACCTAAAACTGGGTCTAAAATAATAATTCATCATAACTAGTAAATAGTAATACAACTACATGTACAGACTTGGAAAGCAGTTGGTTTGGACTAAATCAAGGAGAGACACTGGCAGGTCCAAGCTCAGACAGGGAATCTAGCAAAAAGAACAAAGAGGGGAAGATATTTAATAAATACGTCAAGAATGCAAAATCTGGTCTAAGAGAACCATGAATTGCCAACGAATATACATGTACATCATACATGTTCTTTTTATAATCAAAAATCAATGCAGATACATCATATTGTGGCCTCACCCTACCAGCTCGAAAGGTGACATGATTTATTCAAAGCTGAAACCATGGAGAAATTGAATATCATTTTAACTGGCTAAGTCTTGCTGGCATATAATGAGAACTAAATTGTGGATTAGCTGTTTTTGAGAGGAGGATTTTTTAAATTTTAAAAGTATATTAAAATGAAAAAGGCGAAGAACAGTGATCAATCTAAGAAAAGCTACAAACAATACAGATCTGTGAATCAGTGCATAAAACACAGACCCCTGGAGGTGGGATTAGGTGCCTTTGAGGAATAAGCATCCCTTGTTGACGGCTAACATCCACGATGAGCAAGTGTCTCGATCATGTGATAAGAAAATTTTAAATGGTAATGACACTATCCTAAAACCCAGAAGTCTCCACAGAGACTGAAGCTCTACTGGTGTGTAATTGATGAATCTTAGTATAGTATACTTGTGTACCAAGTCTTATTGAAATTGAACTGGAGCTGTAGTAGGAGTAGCATTTTGAAAAAATTTCACAGAAATTTTCCATTTTTAGTAACCATGGCAACACCCTCTGTAAATTGTAGAAGATCAATAAAATTCTCTTCAGCATGTTCACAAATTAAACTAGCAGCAGTTAATCAAAAGCCACAACAATCCAATATGTGTGATTAATCAAGGCTTTGAAGAAAAGCAGCCTGAACATTACCTGATTTTCATTGACCTACACAAAAATATATTGAAGGCAGAGTTGTTGAAATCAGAAATTATTTAAAGCTAAAATTGGTAAAAATGATGTAAATATTCATGTGTTAGCATATACATGTATAATTGGTTTTCTTGAGAAAGCTTGGCTGTTTTATGCTTGTGAAATGTAATATTAATATTATTTTCCAAGAAGCCAACGGGGCCTTAACGGTCACCTGAGTATAGTACAACATTGTAAAGGATCCAAAGGTATAAAATAAAACAAAATAAGCCAATAGATTTAGCTATGTTGCCCAAAAGCAAGAGAATTAGGATCAGCAAAATAATTAAGTCTAGTTCCTGTAACAAATCTTAAAGTAGATCTACTTGTCCCCATTTGACACTAAACTAAACAAAATAATAGTCCTTGAGCATTTATGTATATACTAGTGAACCTATTTCATTCCCTCTCACACTGTCTTGGTCTTTGAAGATCATTAAATGTACTTAAATGTACAAAGATAAGGTATTTTTCTCTCATTCTTATTTATCTATTACTTACAAGTCAACCTGACCATTAAAACCTAGGAAAGTACTTCTGTATTTTATATATTATAACAATTATTGTATAAATCTCTTATTCGATTGACCTTTCAATTAAATTTACAGTGAATGTACTTAGATTGTTTGCTTTATACCCTGGAGCAGAGAAGACCAATTTCAAAGATATAATGCATTTCACTACATATTCAACAGAGTCCCTCCCTTACACCAAAACACCTGACCCAGGGGCCATGAATTTCAAAATTTTGGAAGAGGCATCTGAACTCATCATAAAAGAATTCAAACATTTTCACCACCTATTGTATAGATTCCTGCCCTAACACCAGATCCCCTGACCTACGGGCCATGGACCTCACACTTTTGGAGGAAGCACTCTTGCTCATCATAACTAAGCACAACAAAGAAGACTTTCTAAGAAATAATGCATTTTCACTATATAATCAAAAGTACCACACTTTAACAACAGATCCACTGAGCAAAGAACCCAGAATTTCAAAATTTTGAAAGAGGTGCCCCTTGCTCATCATAACTTTGCACTTGTTTGTTTGCTTAATACCCAAGAGCAGAGCAGACAACTTTCAAAGAAATAATGCATTTTCACTATTTAATCAACAAAGGCCCACCACCAAACTAGAACCCCTGACCATGGGGCTACAAATTTTACAATTTTGGAAGATTGATTGATTGATTGTATGTTGTTTTACGTCTCATTCGAGAATGTTTCACTCATATAGAGATGTCACCATATAACAGTGAAGGGCTACAAATTTTGACCTTTACTCAGCACTCAGGGCCATTGAGCAGTGAGGGATCTTTATCGTGCTAACGCCTGCCATGACACAGGGCCTTGGTTTTTAAGGTCTCATCTGAAGGACCCGCAACTTTCACTTCAAAGTGCCGAGCGCATAGCGAAGGAACAGTTGCTACCCATTTTTTATCGACTTAGGTTAGTCATGGCCGAGATTCGAACTCCCGACCTCCCGATCAGGGAGCGAGCGCTCTACCGACTGAGCTACCGTGAACGGTCTTTGGAAGAGGCAACCTTGCTAATCATAACTATGCACCTAGTTTATCTGCTAAATATACAGGGGAAGAGAAGATTATTTAAAGATTTTGCATTTCCACTATATAATCATGAGAGCTCCACCTAAACTCCAGAAATTAAGACCCTTGCACTACGAACTTCATAATTTCATAATTTTGGTAGGGGGTTCAATGCTTATTACCATTATGACAACAGTTTAGCTGTTTATCTCCAGGACAAAGAAGAATTCTAAAGATTATATTAATTTTTAACCCCACCCCTCAGGCCCCAGGGGGACAGGGACTATGAAATTCACAATTTTTGTTTCACTTCACTCATAGATGCTATATGCCAAAATTGCTTGAAAACGGTTCAGCTGTTCAAAGAAAAAGCTGAAAATGTTCAAATGTTCAAGGATGACACACGTCAAAAACAGATTGCAATATGTCACCTGTGTGACTCAGGTGACCTGAAATGGGCTTGGTTGACAAAAATTCCATTTAATGGTATTTTCAATTTACCTGATTTCCACCAGCAAAGTGACAAGGAAATATTCCCAGGTTCCCATCAGCAAAGTTGCCCAGTGTATCCATACAGTTGTTGTCTTGTTGAATGCTGCCAAAGGCCTGATCCTGGTGGCCAGGCACCCTGAAATATCATTATTAACAACATCTTAGCTTTGTAATGGGTACTATGATATCATTTCAACAGAAAATTGAAAATTTTGAACATAGTCATATTGAACATTACAAGTTTAATCTGACACCCTTGTCTTCTAATAATAATCACAAATAGAAGTTCTTGTATTTTTATTACTATCATAAGTTCTGTGCTTCTAATAAATCGGTGATTGTTTTGTATCGTTCTAATTTAATATGTAGAGAATATTAGTAATATCTATTTCAATGGTATACTTACTTGAGTTCTGGGTAAACATTTTCTAGGAACCATTTAAAGGGTTTGCAACTCAATTTTTTCCTCAGCTCAACTCGCTCTGAGATACTACAACATATAACACATAAACATAACCCACATCAACTCTAATTTGTAAGACTCATCAAGAAATGCAATGAAACTTTCGACTACAGTCACCTGAGCACATGTAGCAATTTTCATTGAGAGACATTCTTTGGACTTTTTTCCTTAAGTACTTTTTTAAAACATTTGTCTGTATGTTTATATTTTGAACATCTCTTTTTAAGGTATTTTCTTTTATTTATTCATCCATTACTTCTTGACATGTGGGAATAGACTTTCCACTATATAAGGATGCATTCAAAGTAATTTTGTCAACATTCAGTAAAATACAACAAAAAAATCTAAATGACAGAGAAAACAATCCTACTCTCCGAAGTTGACCATTTTAGTGGACGGAACAGCAGCATAATAGAACTCCTTATAATTGTCCATCCAGACCTCAGCAGCTCTCCTGGTGTTGCTACAAAAGGTCAGAGGTCATCCAAATATTAAACTTCATTGAACAATTCATGGAAAGGGTGGTAACAATGATATGCATATGTATATCTTAATTATCCGCTCGCACAACAAGTTGCAGAGGGGATTGTCGCATTGTAAAAGGACGAACCTATTCATTTTCAAGTTAATCAGTGAAATATTTCTTAAAATATCACGTTTTACTAGATTCAAACCCTAAAATTTTATGTGCGAGTTGACAATGCTCACTTCCTGTTAATTAAACAGGTACCCTGTCGACCAGGTAAATTTGTGTCGCTTCCATAGAGTCACTTTGGTAAGTGTACTTACTTTGTATTTGCGTATTGTCATATTATTGTGCGTATCTTGAGACAGTCTGTATAAATTAAAAGTGTCATCTATGACACTGACTAATTGATATAATCTGATGAATTTCGCCATTTCATTACCAAATTACCACAGGTGTCTGTTTACAATATGGAATTTTTTCTGAACGCGCACGTAATTCTTGAAAGCTAAAAAGACATGTCACAAGTTTCTTGGCCTCTCAACACTGATGTATTGTCATTTTTCATTACGAAAAAATATTGCTTCTGTAGGAAATTCTCAGATTTGATTCATACTGCATACATAGCATGCAACTGTGAGGTACTCAGGTAGGTATATTACTGAAATTTAGAGCAAACGTGATATGCTTCTGCTAGGAATGGAGGAAACTGCCCAATCATGTATGCATGTTATGAACCCACCAAGATGGATATGCACCTTGATTTTTGCTAAAAATGGACCCCACCCCACCCCATCCCAAGATGATATCCACCTTGACCTTTGTTAAGTTGCATTACATTTTAATTTCTTTACCTTATTTTAAACTTTATACAGTAAAACTGAGTGCCCTTGATTACTAGATAATTGTATCTTGTTTAATGTTCCTTTTGAGAATTTTTCTCTCGTATGGAGACATTACCATTAAAGATGAAGTCCCTGCCACGAGGGGATGCTCCACTTAGCAGTGTTCTTGTTTCATTTGAAACAAAAGCAAAGCTAGGTTCTGTATTTTGTGACTACGGTAATTTACTAAATAAGTAATTCTACTGTTACCGTGCAAAAACATTTCCACTACCCCCGGGGAATGTGTAGGGGTGCTGTTTCCTGAAGACATGACCCACTCTACTACAGGGGATGATTTCAAGGGATCCGTGACACTGCCAAACTCTAAATGAGATTTCTGTAGAAAAAATATACTCATGGTTAGACCTATCATGATATATGTATTATTTAGTCAAGAAATTTTTGTGGATTTTTTTTATGGTCTGATCTTACATTACATTAATTAAACAAAAGATATTCTTTGAGCACAGCCTCATCACAAGCTGGATCCAAACTAGACAAGAGGCCCAAGGGCCTTAACGGTCACCTGAGTATAACACAACAATTAAGAGGATCCATAGAGTATAAAATGAACTGAAAGGTGAAGCTTTGTTGCCCAAAAGCAAGAAAAATAGGGTGATCAGGATCAACAAAATAATTAGTCTAGTATTCATTAACAGTTCATAAATTAGGTTCTAATCTGTTCCCCATTTATCACTATCACCATACAGTATATTATCAAACTATCAGTGCATCTGTACCATTTTAATTCCTTGTTGACATCTCTCACATTGGCCTCTCTTGGTCTTTGATGAACATTTAAAAAGACAAGTTATTTTTGTCTCATTTTTATTTATCTATTACTTACAAGTCTACCTGATCATTAAAACTATGAAAAGTACTTTTTGTATTATACAATAAAAATTCTTGCATAATTCTCTTATTCTATTAACCTTTCAAGTACATTATTTACAGTGATTAATTATCAAAAGTAAACAGCAAAGGGGAATAACTCCTCTCAGTAGAATGCAAATTGAGCCTTGGCTAGGACTAGAACACTTGACCAAATGGTCCAGATGTTCAAAAATCTGGTAAAAATACCCTTCCTTATTACAACTTTTACTCTTTTTGCCTCTGATATGCCCAAGTGCAGAGAAGATTTTTAAAGAAATAATGCATTTTTCCTACAGATTCACTATATTATCAATAGAGCACCCCCCCCCCCCCTTCACCACCGAGAAACACCAGAGCCTCTCACTCTGGGACCAGAAGTTTGCTCTTCATAAGTAATCACTTTCTTTACATGTATCTGCTTAACATTAAGGAGCTGACAGGATTATTTAATAGAATTAATGCATTTTCACTATATTATCAACAGCCCCACCCTTACACCAGCACATCTGACCCAGGGGTCATGCAATTCACTACTCTGGAAGAAGCACTCTTGCTCATCATAACTATATACTTAGCTTCTCTGCTTTTTAACCAGAAGCAGAAAAGAATATTTTCAAAGAAATTTTGCTTTTTCACTATATAATCAATAGAGCCCCCCTCCCCCCCCTTTCACCAGAACCCTTGACCCTGGGGCCATGAAATTCATTATAATTTTAGAAGAGGCATCCTTGCATATCATAAAAATGTACTTAGTTTGTTTAAATAGTACCCAGGGGCAGAGAAGAAGATTTTCAAAGAAATAATTCACCTTCACTATAGGAGCTATATAGCCCCAACCTAGCACCAGAACCCCTGTCCCTGGGGCCATGAAATTCACAATTTTGGAAGAGGCGTCCTTGCTTATCATAACAATGTACTTTGTTTGTTTAAATAATACCCAGAAGCAAAGAAGAAGATTTTTAAAGCATTAATGCATTTTCACTATATAATAAATAGAGCCCAGTCATAACATCAGAACCCCTGACCCAGGGGCCATGAAATTCAAAATTTTGGTAGAGTCACTCTTGCTTATCATAACTATGTATTTCATTTGTTTAAATAATACCCAGGAGTAGAGAAGAAAATTTTGAAAGAAATAATGCACTTTCACTATATGATCTATATAGCGCCCCCCCTCCCCCCCCCCCCCCCCAGCACCAGAACCAATGACCCTGGGGCTATGAATTTCACAATTTTGGTAGAGTCACTCTTGCTTATCATAACTATGTATTTAATCTGTTTAAATAATACCCAGGAGTAGAAAAGAAGATTTTCAAAAATAATGCACTTTCACTATATGATCTATATAGCCCCGCCCTAGCACCAGAACCCCTGACCCTGGGGCCATGAATTTCACAATTTTGGTAGACTCATCCTTGCTTATCATAACTATGTATTCAATTTGTTTCAATAATACCCAGGAGTAGAGAAGAAGATTTTCAAAGAAATAATGCACTTTCACTATATGATCTATATAGCCCCCCCCCCCCCCCCCGCACCAGAACCAATGACCCTGGGGCTATGAATTTCACAATTTTGGTAGAGCCACTCTTGCTTATCATAACTATATATCTAATTTGTTTAAATAATACCCGGGAGTAGAGAAGAAGATTTTGAAAGAAATAATGCACTTTCACTATATGATCTATATAGCCCCACCCTAGCACCAGAACCCCTGACCCTGGGGCCATGAATTTCACAATTTTGGTAGACTCATCCTTGCTTATCATAACTATGTATTCAATTTGTTTCAATAATACCCAGGAGTAGAGAAGAAGATTTTCAAAGAAATAATGCACTTTCACTATATGATCTATATAGCCTCCCCCCCCCCCCGCACCAGAATCCCTGACCCTGGGGCTATGAATTTCACAATTTTGGTAGAGTCACTCTTGCTTATCATAACTATGTATTCAATTTGTTTCAGTAATACCCAGGAGCAGAGAAGAAGAAGTAGAGAAGAAGATTTTCAAAGAAATAATGCACTTTCACTATATGATCTATATAGCCCCACCCTAGCACCAGAACCCCTGACCCTGGGGCCATGAATTTCAGAATTTTGGTAGAGGGCTCAATGCTTATTACAATCATGTCAACAGTTTGACTGCTTGATGTCCAGGAGTAAAGAAGAAGATTTTTAAAGATTGCATTAATTTTGGTGGTTTTAGCCCCACCCCTCAGGCCCCAGGGGGGCAGGGACCATGAAATTCACAAATTTTGTTCCCCGTCACACATAGATGCCATATGCAAAAATTGGCTGAAATTGGTTCAGCGGTTTCAGAGAAGAAGCTGAAAATGTTCAAATGTTAACACATGACGCACGACGGACGACGACGGACGAAAACAGATAGCAATAGGTCACCTGAGTGACTCAGGTGACCTAAAAACTGAAATACATATTATGTATCGTTGTGTAGTGTACTTGTGTTCCAAGTTACATTGAAATCAGACCAAAACTGTATGAGGAGTAGCGTTTTGATAAATGTTTACAGACGGACGGACTGCTAGACGACGGACACCTCACTATCGCATAAGCTCTTCTGGTCTCTGACCAGTAGAGCTAAAAATCAAATATAATCATCAGTGTTTGAAACTTACAATAGAATTAGCAAGACATGCAGGGCTAACTGCTAGTGAAAGTTGTCAGTCCTGCCAAAAAGCTACTAGCCCGAGAAAATAAAAGTCTTTTGAAAATATGTTTTAGCGATAATGTAAATGGGGCATGATCACCATAACTTCCATCCCAAATCTATAGGCTGTCGAATTCTACCCCTTTGCCTGTTACACTTAGCTACCAATACTATCAGTTGATTTGAGAGATATTTATCAAATATATGAAATTTAATTCATGGCAAATTTCAATACGTCCAGCTGGGCATTGATACGTGCAAATTTGTTCCTACTTGGCAAAATTTGTGCATCTCTGGCAGTCATGCGCACAGTTATTTCAAACACTGATAATCATGGTCATTCCTATCATTATATTAATTAATGAAGAGATTTGTTTGCGATTTTTTTCATTATGGTCTGATTTATTAAACAAAAGTCGATATTACTCTTTGAGCACAGCCTCATCACAAGCTCCTATAAAATACATACCTAGATTTTCTCCACCCCATACATCCATGTTCTTGTCATACTTTCCAAGTTCTTCAAACCACTTTTTCTCGATACTGAACAATCCACCAGCAATCATGGGAGTCCTACCAGAGAATTATAGAGAAAAATTGTCATATATTATTTCAGAGACTGTTATCATTTTGAATTAATTCTTAACCATCTGAGGGAAAATTAGCATGGTTTCCCACTCAGATTTTTCTTTTTTGCAAGATCCATAAAAAATCATGTTACTAAAAAACTACTATCTATAAAAGGATTCATATTTTTATGGTTCTGCAAATGATAAATTCAAAGAAAGACAACTCTTGCCTGGTATTTAATTTATTTGTATGACTAAAAAAAGATAAAATACTAAGGTATGGTCACATGACAGTCATGTCAATAAACAGGTAGACAAGGAAGTTATAAATAGCATTCAGATGTGAACTTACACTAGGAGATCAGTTTTAAAAAAGCAGGTTTGTGTCAATATGTCAAAAAAATTTAAAAGCTTGGCACGGGAAGAACTTGAATTTATCTATAATGGATTTAATTCTCAAAATTCAAATTGATTCTCCTTGTCAAATAGGTCAATTTAGAGGTCAAATTATAGAATGGTTAGCCTTCATATCATACTAAACCAAAAGTACTGCAATCTTAAGACAATGTACATGTCACATAACATATGCAGAATCTGAATGGGTATCAAAAAAGGTAAAGGTATTGGAAAATGTAATATTTAGATGTTCAAACTTGTGGCCCAATATATAATGACGTTCCGACTGATTAACCGGTTAATCGTATCAAAATACACATTTTCTAGACATATTTTTCTTAAGTAGCACTATACATGTAAACGCATTGTCAAAAAGACTAAAATAGACGTTAGAATGAAGTTACAAATATTCTGTATACCCTGATCAGGAAACAACAATGTATACACATACTTTCTTTCAATTTCAATAGACAAGAAAAAATAAGGAAACCCATGAAACATGCATGCCCAAGAAATCAGACATTGATAATTTTCCAGAGCAGATGTCACAAAAGTTCATAGTACATTGTTACCATGATCAAAACTAAGTCGGAATAATTATTAACTTTCACTTAATTTACAATGTTTGTTTAATGCTATAATTTGATAGATAACGGCAAAAGATAGACATACCAATTCACAGTGCTCAATGATGATCTATTTAATATAATTAAAGAATTACAGGACAGTTGTGATAACTACATGGTGTTTAAACTGTAATAATTAATTAACACTTCACAAACTGGCCAATTAACCCGCTATCTCAATCAGGAGAGTAATAATTACTGCCAAATCAGGTTAAATAGATATGTGAAAACGTTATATTATCAACATTTATGCTGAGGTTTCTTTTTTAAAATGAATTTGAAGAGAATTTCGTTCAAATTTACATATATTCCATTTTTTCCGACTAACCGATTACCGTTTTTCTAACCGATTACTCTTGTTCCGACCGAGTAATCAGTTAACTGGTTACAAATTGACATCCCTAATAATGACACATTATGTACAGAACAGTGACATTATCTAATAAATGATAAAATGAATAAACTAATGTACAAGTTAGATGTACATGTACTCAAAACCCAATTGAACAAAATGCCCTAGTAACTTTAAAGGGAAAGGGTATATTTTTAAATTCCCTTTCAGAAGTGAATGAAATTCTTGCAATTCATAGAGAAAATACAAGTTTGTTCACCATGTAATGGTGTAAATGTTTGAATCTCAAATTAAATGCACTTAAAAAGTTCCTTGACACTTAACAGGTCGAGGAAACTATTTTCTAAGCCGTCAGAATAAATTTACATGCCAAATGAGGCACCAGCGTGACTGACAAACTGACCATTCAGCTGAAAGAGTCGAACTGCATAATGGGTTACTACAAAAAATACTACGTTCAGAAAAGGCCAGTTTTTCTAATCGCTCTCGGAAAGACATGATGAATTTTTCAAGCATTTTACACACTTAATACAGTAGGTACATCATTATCTATTAATTCCTCACATTTACAAACAATTGTTTTACAATGGTAAAATTTTGGTAATCGCCACCCCATTGTATAAGTCATTTGTGGACAATTGCCTGTATTCCCGTGCTGTACTGTCAGTGAATACAATTCTCACATATATTCCACAACAATCTACTCTGAGGTGTACTCACGTAATGCCATGTATAAATGACCTCCGATGGCCAGTTAAAGTTTGAAATGGCTTAGAGATGCTTTGTTTTGTACGTTTCCTATTTTGATATATAAGCTACTATGACCAAGGTACATGTCGTGCAGCAATAAACTGCATTAACTTTTAATTTCTCATCAATAAATTACAAAGCTACAACAAATAAAACCAATAGCATGGCAAATGTACGAATATCAAGTTATAAAAATTAGATTCTTATTACTTGTAAAGACTGTGAGCGGTATTTCAAGTGAACGCACTATTTAACAGGGAAAATTGGCTTTGTTTGTTAATGTGAGCATAGGAAATCTTAATTATAACCTAATCTTCATATTTCTAACAAAAACATAGAAAATAGTTATAAGTTGACTTTCCCGCAGTCATTTGAAATTGTGTCGTAAATTTGCCTGAACCATGTGTTTGAAGTAAAATGTAAACATGTAGTAGACCAGCACACTTTTCTATTCATTCATTGGATTGGACAATTGTTCGTAGTAAGCACCACCTTGCCCAATGACAACAATATCCATATAAGGTAGATTCCTCGACCTGCTGAACATGTTATGATAAATTTACATGAAGCTGTCAGTGCATACTAAACAAAGTAGCTATATAGTCCACCACGTCATGTGCACAATTGGTTACATCTACCAGATGCCTCACATGGATTCAACTGTGATCGGCCTTACAGTAAAACCCTCAAACATCCATAGATGATTGAAAATTCATCATTTAGCTAAAAACAGTTCATTTAATCTGCTTTTTATATGATATCAACAAATCATGTATGTTTACAATTTAAAGTATCAGTTGGTGCATTTTTAAAAGTTAAAGAACATCTCTATTTTTTGGCATTGATAGCCTTAGTACGTACATTTCAGTTGAAATTTTCTCCATCTGTATTTCTTCATTATCAAATGTCATTCTATTACATTATGTTTTTGCTTTGAGCATTTCTTTTTCTTTAAACAAACGTATCTGTCTAATGGATGATTTTAGGAAAAACACTTGCTCATTAGTGTAAACGTCTTTAATTTCACGTGCTTACTTTAATATTTCATGATTTCTTATGATGATACATTTCACGGTGGTTTTAATTTCATGGTCAATGAATTTCTCTTTACGATATATTTTTGCAATTTTATAAATTATTCTTTAAAAAAAAAAATTTAGAGTAAATTATTTAAAATAAAGTTTTCCAGTAGCGAGAGCATTTCTTCAAAAGTTGATATAAATGATACATTTGTAAATTTCAGGTATAGCACAACAATGGACCCACGCACCAGTGCCCAGGATGTGATGCGATGTGACCTGTGTGACACCGCTGTCGTACAGATGCACTGTGATACATGTCTTGTCAACCTGTGTAAGGCCTGTGTTGGAGAACACATGATATCTGATGAATCCAAAAAACATGAAATTGTTAGATTTCAACTTAGAAAATCCACCCTGATTTACCCTCTCTGTAAATTTCACAAGAACGAACGATGTGAAATGTACTGTAATCAATGTGACATTCCAATATGCAGTGCCTGCATTGCCTCTGGAAACCATTCAGGTCATAATATTCTTCAAATAATTAAAGTTTACAATGCTAGAAAAGAAGAAATTGAGAGAGAAATGAAAGAGATAGAACAAAATATTTATCCAACCTACCAGAACATTGCCTCTGATGTACAAAACAGAATAAGTCAGTTAGAAAAGGAATATGGAGATCTCTCAACAGCCATAACAAAACATGGAGAGGACTGGCACAGAGAAATTGACAAACTTGTCAAGAATCTTAAAGCTGAAGTAGAGAAAATGAAAGCTAAACACCATGATGCTTTGAAGGCCCACAAAGATGAAATAAATCAGTTAATAACTGATATTTATAATGAAATCCAAGCATCTTCTAAACTACTGGAATTAAATGACATCTCCCTGTTTCTTAAATTCAATACAAATATACAAGAATTCAGAAAACTTCCATCTAAAGTTAATGTAACATTACCCCATTTCACTCCAACTCAATATCAGCCAGAACAACTCATCAAACTGTTTGGGAACCTGTCAAGTCTCTCTCTTACTTCAGAGGAGCATGGCTACAAAATGAAGACAACAAAGAAATCACCAGAAGCTGGATCCTCTCCTCCAGTCAGACAGCTGCTTGATGAACCAGAGACTATCACCTCCACAAACACTGGGTATGATAGACTTTACAATGTGGTCTGTCTGAGTGATGAAGAAATCTGGACAAGAGGAAATGACAACACCATGAAACTCTACAGCATCAATCAGGGATCACTACTCAAGTCAATCAGAACCAAGTCAGGGAACCAACCATATGACATAGCAGTGACAAAAAGTGGAGATCTAGTTTATACTGATTACTGGGATAGAACTGTGAACATTGTGAAGAATGAGAAGATAGAGGAGTTGATCAGACTACAGAACTGGATACCTTACAGAGTCTGTAGTACCTCCTCTGGTGACCTCCTGGTTATCATGTACAGTGATGATTACAAACAAATAAAAGTTGTCTGTTACTCTGGCTCCACAGGGAAACAAACCATTCAGTTTGATGATAAAGGTCAACCTCTCTATTCATCTGGTGGTTATTACAGATACATAACTGAGAACAGGAACCTGGATATCTGTGTGTCTGACTATGGAGCTAAAGCAGTAGTGGTGGTCAATTAGGCCGGGAAACTGAGATTCAGGTACACTGGACATACTCCTGCTCTAAAGAACAAACCATTCAATCCACTAGGAATCACCACAGACAGTCAGAGTCACATCCTTACAGCTGATATTTACAATGACTGTGTCCACATCATAGACCAGTATGGACAGTTCCTCGGTTACATAGACTGTGGACTTAGTGAACCCTATGGACTGTGTACAGATACAAATGACAATCTGTTTGTTGCTCAGTATGGAAACAGACAAGTGAAGAAAATTAAACATCTGCAGTGAAATCCAACACTGTAATGATGTAAGTTATGAACATCATAATACTTTTATGGCAGCTGAAATTATGTTTCTTAAATAGAATGCATATTTCCACATCAGTGTTAGTCAGAGATGCTTTTTATCAAATATATTTTATCTTGTTTTTATTATGAGAATAAAACTGGTATTAAGTATGACCTCATTTAGTTATGAATTATTTTTACTCTACATGACCTAATATTTATATCAAATTTTTTTTTCAAAACAATACAACGAACACAATCACAAGCTACTTGTTCTTTCATCTCTACATAGCTGATATCCTATTGTTTTAAAAAATTAATGTACTGATTAAAGACATTCAAGAAGATAAAGGACTTTACTATATTTTATAGACTTTCAAGTAAATTAGGTGAATCTGATTCATTAAGAGACATTCCTTAAACAAGAGGCCCATGGGCCACATTGCTCACCTGAGCACAATGGCTAGGAAATAAAGCAAAAATCAGTGCAGTAAAAGTTTAAGGGGGGGGGGGGCATGAATTTTAAAATACCTGATGATGCTTCCATATCAATATAACAAATGGCTTTGCTGTTCTTGAGCAGCAGATTTTTGTGAAAATTTGATCCCCCTTTGTGGCCCCAACCTACCCCTGGGGGTCATCATTTGAACACACTTGAACCTACACTACCTGATGATGCTTCCATATAAATATGACCAATCATGGTTTGCTGTTCTTGAGAAGAAGATTTTTCAATATATTTTCCTATATATTTCTATGTAAAACTTTGATCCCTCATTATGGCCCCTCCCTACCCCGGGGGTACTTCCAAATAAATATGACTAATCATGGCTTTGCTGTTCTTGAGAAGAAGAGTTTTAAAGAATTTTCCAATGTATTCCTATGTAAAACTTTAATCGCACATTTTGGCCCCACCCTACCCCCAGGGGTCATGATTTGAACGAATTTGAATCTACACTACCTGAGAATGTTTCAACATAAGTTTCATCTTTCCTGGCCCAGTGGTTCTTGAGAAGAAGATTTTTAAATGATGCCATTAACTTTTCACTAATTCCTAATTATCTCCCCTTGAAAGAGAGTGTTGCCCTTCATTTGAACAAACTTGAATTCCCTTCACCCAAGGATTCCCTTCACCCACTTTGTGGCAAGTTTGGTTGAAATTGGCCCAGTGGTTCTTGAGAAGAACTTGAAAATGTGAAAAGTTTACAGACAGGACAGACAGATGGATGCCGGACAAAATGTGATCAGAAAATCTCACTTGAGCCTTCGGCTCAGGTGTGCTAAAAACTATTACCCGCTGAATGAAGAAGCCATGCCCTCCAGTGTATCAACAGTCAACATTGCTTGACAAAGAGTGATATTTAAAAAAGTAGTGATTGCCCAGAATTTATGTGCACAAGGTTCACTGTTATATGTATCTGTATAAGACATTCAGTATTAAACAAGAGATGTTTGTGAAACACTTATGCCCCCCCCCCCTTTCAAATAATTGAATTTTTCTGAGTCCAAGGGGCATAAATCTGTCAAAAAATGCTCGATCGTACCTAAAACAGAACTTGCTCTAGATATTCTTATGATAAATCTGTAAACCAAATTTCATTTCAGTATGTGCAACCTCTGCGAAGAAAATGAACAGAAACTGCAAATAATTGGAATTTTTCTAAGTCCAAGGGGCATAAATCTGTCAAAAATTGCACGATCGTACCCAAAACAGAACTTTACCTAGATATTCTTATGATAAATCTGTATACCAAATTTCATTTTAGTATGTGCAACCTCTGCAAAGAAAATGAACAGAAACTGCAAATGATTGAAATTTTTCCAAGTCCAAGGGACATATCTCTGTCAAAAATTTCTCAATGGTACCCAAAACAGAACTTGCCATAGATATTCTTATGATAAATCTGTACACTAAATTTCATTTCAGTATGTGCAACCTCTGTGAAGAAAATGAACAGAAACTGCAAATAATTGGAATTTTTCCAAGTCCAAGGGACATATCTCTGTCAAAAATTTCTCAATGGTACCCAAAACAGAACTTGCCATAGATATTCTTATGATAAATCTGTACACTAAATTTCATTTCAGTATGTGCAACCTCTGCAAAGAAAATGAACAGAAACTGCAAATAATTGGAATTTTTCCAAGTCCAAGGGACATATCTCTGTCAAAAATTTCTCAATGGTACCCAAAACAGAACTTGCCATAGATATTCTTATGATAAATCTGTACACTAAATTTCATTTCAGTATGTGCAACCTCTGCGAAGAAAATGAACAGAAACTGCAAATAATTGAAATTTTTCCAAGTCCAAGGGACATATCTCTGTCAAAAATTTCTCAATGGTACCCAAAACAGAACTTGCCATAGATATTCTTATGATAAATCTGTACACTAAATTTCATTTCAGTATGTGCAACCTCTGCGAAGAAAATGAACGGAAACTGTTGGTGGACCGATAGACCAACCGACAGACAGCAGCAAAGCAATATGCCCTCCCTTCTTTGAAGGGGATGGGGGGGGGGGGGCATAAATATAATAAAAATTGCATGTAGTTGAGTGTAACATTAAAAATTTCCATCCCTCGAAAACCATGGTCAACCAAGGCTGCACCTCAATTGACAATGGTTTTCTTAGGATTGATATTTTCAATGTTACACTCAACTACATGCAATATTTATATAACACTGAACTAGTGAAGATTTGAATGTTTGACGGTTTAGCTATTTTAGAAGTATTGGAACTTAATTACTAGATGGTCTCGTAGCATTTAACAATACTCTTTTTAAAAAAGATTGTATGAGTGGAAACATTGAGAAGGATTTTAAGTTTTTGCTGTGGTCATTTTTTAAATTCTTCAGTTTTCACATTTACAGTTTACAGCATAAAGGCCTATGTCAAAACAATGCACAGCTATATACTACCATTACTACTGCAAAAGACATGCCTTAGGAAATAAAAATTTCAGATATCAGTTCATTGTCAAATACATACAGAATTCGGCACAATTATATATACAACCTTGAACTGACACATTACCTGATTGGTTGAATTGATAAACATACCTGATTGGTTGAATTGATAAACATACCTGATTGGTTGAATTAACAAACATACCTGATTGGTTGAATTGGATTTCCTGCTCGTTTGTTTCTTTCCTCTGAAGTCATGTAATCCCACTTAAAAACCAGGTTCCAATCAAATCCTACAACACAGAAACTCAATATAAATTTCAAAAGTTAGACTTGGTTAAAAAATGTGCAATAACAATATACTATACATTTATTGACTGGGTTCAAGGGTAACATGCGTTTTGTTGGACCCAAGAACCAAACTATTTGCCTGAGGCCTTTAGGCCTAAAGCAAACAGTTTGGTTCGAGGGTCAACAAAATGCGTTTTGCCCGAGAACATAGTCAATAATGTTTTATTATAACTTTATTTTAATTTTTTTTTATCTTGTGCTGGATTCTGTGATGTAAACTGATGTTAAACTCGGTCAATTCCATCAGTGTCAAACACCAGCGAAAACAGATCCCCCCCCCCCCCCCACTCTGAAACGTAAGCAGTCCAATATCTCGTCCATGGGTCCAATATCTCACTCTGCCATCAAACATCGATTTTATTTTTTAACGCTCAGTAAAACATTGGAAATGTTAGACATTTTTAAGTATTGATTTATATAGGAACAATTTTTAAAAGTATAACAATAAAATGTATTTGATAAGCTAAAGTCTACTTTACTATGCCAGTAAATTAAAGTAATTTTTTTAGTAATATAAAAGTGTAATATAATAACCCCTAAAATGTTTCGCAATTAGTAATACTTACCCCCCACATTCTATTGTGATATTTAATACTGTAGATCTCTTTATTTTTGCAACCTTATTTACTCAAGATAGACATCTGTAAAATAACAAGAAAATTTTTGCGAACTGTAGTTATTAAGAGATGTAATCCTTTACATTACAAATTTATGTGAGAATAAAATATACCCAAGCAGACAGACTAGTGTAATTATGCGAAAATAAAGTTCTCGCTAATAAAAAGTGATTTACAATACTAGTCCCTTACATTCTTATGTGATTTGCAATACTGACCCCTCACAATGTAGTATAAATTGTAATATTAACCAAGGCCAATTGTATTGTATGGTAAATTGTAATAATATCCCCTCATATTGTATTGTGATTTGTCATACTAACCCCTTATATTACTGTAAAAGTACTTTTCTTCTGCTTTGGGATTAATTTAAGCTATGTAAACTTTTGGTAAAAAAATTCGGTGAAAACTTTCCACGGAAATTATCACAGTGCATTTAAGATATACAATGGTAATCCAAGAATCACCGTAATTTTCTACCCATAGAAAAATTGTAATTCCACAGAATTACAACACTGCATGTGGAAAAAGATATGTTTGCAGTATATTGTAGTTTGTAATACCTACCCCCTTTGAGATCAGCTGAGGTTCCAATGTACTCAAAGTTGTCCATGTTTATTACATCTATGATGGGATTCACAACTCGAGTTCTGTCCTGGAATGTTCACAAGAAGACATTTGAATAAAGTCTACATGAAATAAAAAATACTACATGATTTACCTGTAAAAATTCCTCAATTCGTAATGAAGCACTCATTTTATACTTGCTTTTGTTTCGAAAAAATTACACGTTGCTGGATTTCAACATAGTTACATTACAATTCCAAATTGTTTCTGTACTGGCTTTTGTGACCTAGATTTACACTAATATCAATTTGAGAATGCTCATAAAATTATTTTCCTTGCTCCATTATTCTAAGTGCTAAATGAAATGTTTCTATGTAAAAATTATGAATTAGACTTATTCTGTTGTATTAATTACCTTGTTTCAAAGTATATATTGGGGTATAACAGTGATGATCTGAATGGGCCAAAATATCTGAAATAGGTCGGGGGTCGAGGAGATGATAAAATATGGGCTTAAGCAAGCCCCCAAACAGATTTAAATGAGTGGCAAAAAAATGAGGTATGACATTTTTTCAATGCCTTTTACATCCAGACCTGGCTTATTGAATTGCCATGCCATTGTAAAGAATTCTGAATCATCACTACGTTTGTGTTTACTATACTTGAAGAAAAAAGCAAACATCTTGATGATTCAGAGTAGATAAAAATACGGACAAAAATCTTGAATTTCTTAATTGTCTGTTCGAAGAAATTGATTGCAATCTTTATGATGAGGGTGCAAAAGTTATAACATTTCATACCAATGCAGAGAGAATCCTTCCATGGATCAAAACTCTAGCCATTTTTTATTTTGATAATATTGGTCACATCAGTGGAGCGCGCGTGGTATGGAAGGATGCGCCTTCTAGTGCGTGGGATAGCAGCACGCCAAAGCCAACTATACTATTGAAATGTATGACCAGACTGCCCCATATTCGTTGATATACAACCTTACTCTGTTTCAACAGGAACTATTCGAGTACAGGGTCAGAATTATAGCATCTTTGTAGAGAAGCATTTTTCGCAGTTATCACAAATTTTGGATATGGTCCTGGCCGAAGATGAAAAGTTGCAAACATCAGTTAAAACACAACGCCTGACACAAATAATGATTTATCAAGACTAGAAACCAGCTAGTCTTGTCAGTGTTATTAAAAAACTTTCTATTGTGCAAACAAATATTCTTTCTAATCAGAGTTGCATACATGAAGCAATAGTAAGAATTGAAAGAGACCTAAACAAAATGGTCACTAAACAAGATAAAATATCCTCAAATCTACAAGAAATCCAAAACAAGGTTGAATCACTTCTTACGAAAAATGAAGAATCTAATAGAACTATACCTATTACAGCACCAAAAAATTCTTTGGATGCTGGTACTGCTGATCTGCCGACAATATTGATTGTTGGAACCTCCAGCATTAAAAACATTAAAGAAGACAAACTCACAGCATTTGCAAAATCTATCAAGGAAATTAAATATACTCTAGATGACACATACCAGTATATTGCATCAAGCCTTGAGGTGATGATACCAGATCTAGTGCTACTGCACTCGTTTACAAACGACATCAAGAAATATGAGCCTAATCAATGTGTGGACAAAATGGATCGAATCATTGGTCTTCTGCACCAGGAATGGCCATTCAGTAAAATAATTGTATCCCTTGCCACACCCAGGGCAGATGAATTTCGTTACCATACCAATGGTCAGATTCTGAATGCGCTTCTTAAACAACACTTACATGAAAATCCTTCTGTGTTAACACTAGATCATTCCTACATGCTACATGAGGGTGACCCGCCACTGAGCTTGCTATGTGACGATGGAGTACACCTGAATGAAAAAGGAGTCTCTCTATTAGCTTCCAATATGAAGAGAGTGATTCACAGCTCCTTGGGAATCGAAATTGTCAACAGCCATAGATCAAGGTTCAAGTCCAGAGCTAAGTTTGGGTTTAATAGGAACTGAAGGTCTAGCCGTAAACGTTAATGTACTTTATAAATACCTTAATGTATTACTGAGTCTTGTTCCAATGTCTTACAACTATGTTGAATTATCAAGTATCACTAAAGTAAGGATAATTCTTCTACTGACAAGTAGTTTTCATCATAATCTTATTAGCAATTATTTTTGCACTAAATCCCAGTTCTTTTGTAAAAACATTTTTTGTGGAATTTTTATGATGTTGATTCCGATTCTTTATTTTGTCTCATTGCTGTTACGTTCGTAAAGCAAGAGGGATTCTTACAATATAACACTTCTTTATTAATTGATTTTTTTTTGGTATTACTAAAGAATACTACATTAACAAATAAGGAGTGTACAGGCAAACAAAAATCTTTCAAGTTTGCATTTCTGAATGTTGGTGGCTTAGTAAGTCAGGATTTTAACAAAACTTGTGATCCTAGATTTATGAATACCTTGAAGAAATATGATATTGTTTTTCTTGTTGAAACCCACATTGGGTCTGGTCAACTACCACATGAAATTGGCCCTTTTTACTTTCATACTGTATGTAGGCCTATGAGTAAACATAACAATAGACATTTCGGTGGATTAAGTATTTTATGTAAAAATCACATTAAACCACACATAAAAATCCTCAATAACACATCTGATGATTTTCAGTGGCTTCAACTAGACAAAACTTATTTTGGTCTCCAAGAAAATTTATTCATATGTGTTGTATATGATCCATCTAGTACATCATCTTATACCCTTGGACTGAATTACAATATAATTGAATGTTTAGAAAAAGAACTGATACAATATAGTAAATTAGGTAACATATTAATATGTGGTGACTTCAATGCTGGAACATCTAATCACTTGGATTTTATTCCCTATGATGATAATGTATATGTACCCTTATATGACCAATAGGGTAGAGTGGGGTAATTTCGACCACTTTTGCTGATTTGTGGCTTTCAATCCACAAAACACGACTGTTTTCAAATGTACTAGTTAAAAAAGATTCAAAGTAATTGAGATTGATTTTTTTCTTCAGATTTTTCTGCTTTAGGAGTTAAAAATGCATAAAAAATAATGAATTGGTTTAAAAATAAGTAAGCATGTCGCATGGGTTAATTTCGACTGGCCTCGGGGTAATTTCGACCACAACAAACATCAAAAAGAAAGATAACTCTTGCAATGCAAGTAAACTTTACCAGTTGCATTTTATTCAAAATTTATGGTCCGAGAAACTATATTGCTTATTTAGAAAATACGTGTATCTATATCTATCTCTCTCAATAAGCAGAGTAAAATGGATAAGTACTAATATCCATAAAGATAGGGGTTGGGTTACATAAGCTTTTCAATGCTGTCTTATAGACATCTTTCAAAATTCTTATTCTTTATTCTAAATTCTGCTTTTAATTCGCCAACTCTATAATTTAAAATTGTGATATATAGTTATGCAAATAGATAAAATTTTCTCAGATCCCACAAATAATTTCTTTGTTATGATTTTTAAATTCTCCAACCCAAAAGGAATTTTATTTAATATCGTCTTTTCACAACAGAATCATTCAGATTGTATATCTATGTATAAGGTTTGAGCATAGCATTAGAATTGCGTATATTTTTCTTCACTAATTTTTACCATATACACATTCATTTGGAATGCATTGTTACATGTAATATACGTATTTTACGTGTTTTGTTAATTCTGAAGAGAGATAGATCCCGAGAAATTCGATAAGTCAATTAAATAAAGATTTACAGAAGCAAAGTCCTCTGACCCCCCCCCCCAAAAAAAAAAACAAACAAACAAACAAACAAACAAACCTAAACTCAAACAAATCATTTCAGTATTTCGTGTAACATCATAGTGGGTTTTTTTGTTTCAAGATTGTTGTGGCTCTTTTGGTGTGTTGTTCTGATATTTTGGGTACTATTTGGATTTTTTTACCTGGACTGTGTGATACGATCTTAATACGACTGGGTCGTTGGTTTTCGATAGCCTCAGTCTTATTTGTCAAAGTTTACGCATTCGTAATAATGAAAAAAATTACAAAAACCTAATTTTTTTTTTCTTTTTTTTTTGGACATATATTTAATATTGCCTGCACCCTCTCTTTTGTTAATTTGATGGGTTTGGAATCTTTAGGATTGCTCTCGTCATGTGTTAATTCAAAGCCAGTGCCGACTCCGTGTTCTCTCGCACCTCGATCAGTGATGCACCCTCGTGAATACTTCTACAAGTAAGAACCTCGTGAACGGCCCGGTTAATATATATAGCTAGGCATGCACATGTTAATTAAATAATCTGACATATTTTTTTTAAATATAAAAGGTTATGTGTAGATAATATTGTACATATACAGTATAATTATTTTTTTAAGATCTAACTCTGCATTGCATTAAACAGCTGTTGAAGACAACTTGCACGTATATTTCAGAATAAGTGGTCGAATTTACCCCGCGTCCTTAAAATCAGTAGGGGTAATTTCGACCAAAATCAAATGGACGTTTCTTGTGCATTTTGAGATAAATCCAAGATAAATTTGTAAAATTCTGCAACTTAAAGATATTCCAAGAAGAAATAAAACAATTTTAATTTAACTCATGCTGTAGACTGTTGAACAAGGTTAAACTTAAAAAGAGGTTGTACGAGTTGTCTCTCTTGCATTTCCTTGATCAAATCAAGCGCACTGAAGACTGGGACTTCGAACGTCAAACTGGAGACATAAATGATAGTTAAAAATATTATTTATATCTCTGATCAAGCCATATTTGCGATGAATAATTATACTACGACACACAATTTGAGGAATAGTTTTCTATAATTCCGAATAAATTAAACTTGTCTCAACACTTCCGTAGATCTTTGTGTGGTTTTGAGTTCCTGTGGTCGAAATTATACGGTGGTCGAAATTACCCTGACTTACCCTATAATATTGACAAAGAAATCAGACATAGAAAAAGTCAGGGTGACAAATTAGTTACACCCCTAATTGCTCAAGCGTGGTTGACTATGTTATTATATCTGAAAGTATTTTGGATCAGATTTTGTACTTCAGTGTAAATGACTTTGATCCTACACTATCTGATTGTCACTGCTTATTACATTGGGAAATGTCTGCCAATTTTACAACTTTAATCGACAAAAATCAAAATATGTGTAAGATGCAATTTATTGAACCACGTTTTATATGGTCAGAAGATTCAGCATTTAAATTTCAAGAAGCTTTAACCTCTGTAGACATACAGAAGATCTGTCTGATTTGGCAAATTTTGAGGTTCAGAATTCATTATCCTCTCTGAATACTGCTGTGGACAAACTCCAAAATATTATTATTAATGCTGCAGCTAGATCCTTGAAAAGAAATAAAATTAAAACAGCACAACCAAAAAGAAGTAAAAACAAGAAATGGTTTGATGGAGACCTAAAACACACAAAAAGTAGATTGATTAATGTTAATTGATAGAATTATGTCTCAATTTCCAAAAGATCCAATTTTAAGAGGCAGATTTTTTAGACTCAGAAAACAGTATGCTAAGTTATGTAAACACAAATGAATTCAATATCAGCAGTCCCTAATTGCAAGGCTTGATGCTTTAAACGAGGATAATCCCAAACTTTATTGGAATCTTGTGAACCATCTTGTTGACAAAAATAATGCAGTAGATACAGATATTAATTCTAATAGATGGCTGGATCATTTTATAAAATTAAATGAAGTGAAAGAGTCATATTTGGACAGACTAAATGAATTGAAAAAGAAAATTTCTTAAATGGAAAATAAGCAATGCTTTAATGAATTGGACTATCTAATAAGTTCTTCAGAAATATCAGAGGCAATTTCTTGTATTAAATATAACAAGGCTCCTGGGTTAGACAACATTTCCAATCATATGATTAAGTATGGTCACAACGCCCTACTACCATCTTTAAGAAATATCTTCAATGCTTGCCTGTCACATGGACTTTATCCTAAATCATGGGCTGAGGGATATATAACTGTTCTGCATAAAACGGGGGATATCAATAACCCAAACAATTACCGTGGCATTACCATCACTAGTGCAATTGGTAAATTATTTAACAGTATATTGAATAAAAGGCTAGACAAATATCTAACGAAAAACAAAACTAACAATGATTGTCAAATCGGTTTCTGTAAAAAGGCAAGAACATCTGATCACATGTTTATTCTAAGAACTTTATTTGAAACATACTGCTCTCAAAAAGAAGGACGACTCTATGCATGTTTCATTGACTTTAGAAAAGTATTTGACACAGTTATACATGAAGGTATCAAAATTATCAAAAATGCTAGAAATTGGTGTTGGATCTAAATTTTACAATATAATCAAGAGTATGTACAATTGTAGCAGATCATGCATTAGGTTAAACAATCAAGTCACTGAAACTTTCCCTATTAGTTTAGGGGTTAAACAGGGAGACAATCTGAGTCCAAATTTATTCAAAATTTTCATCAATAATCTTCCAGAATACTTAAGTAATATTACAGATGACAATATTCAGTTAAATGACAAATTACTTCACTGTCTAATGTATGCAGATGATATAGTTTTATTGTCCAAGTCTTCTAAAGGTCCTCAACAGAAACTTAATTGTCTTGGAAAGTTTTGTACTGATTGGTGCCTTGATGTAAATATTTCAAAAAACAAAGTACTAATTTTTAATAAAGCAGGTAGACACCTGAAAGAAAACTTCACATTAAACAATGAATCTCTTGATTGTACTGCTTCTTATAAATATTTGGGCATTCATTTTACTGCATCTGGAAGTTTTACACTTGCTCAGGATGAACTTTACAAAAAAGCTACAAAGGCATTTTTTAAATTACAAAAAAATTTCCTATCATTGAATCCTAAAATAAACACAGCTTTACACGTATATGATCATACAATAAAACCCATACTACTTTACGGTAGTGAAATTTGGGGGGGGGGGGGGGCACTTAACACCACTACGGCACGATTTAGAAATGGACCTGTTGCACTGGATGAATTATATGCTAAATCACTTTGTGAGAAATTACATTACAGGTTATGTAGATTTTTATTAGGCGTAAATAACAAAAGTACAAAATTTGCTGTTCTTTCTGAATTAGGTAGACACCCTATGAGTTTCAGCATTGTTCAGCATATTTTGAATTACTGGCATAGGTTAGATAATTTGGATGACACATATCCTCTATTAAAAGCTGCATACACTGCCTCAATATCCAATTTCAACCAAAAAAAATTATCATGGTTTGGTTCTATTGATGTATTCAAACAACTTCTTCCTCAGTTAATGCCTCATCTGAAATCATCTACATCAGCCTTTAAATATCATTGTAAATGCATTCTTAATTCATATTTTCTTTAAAAGTGGTTTCAAAAGAAGGAACAATTAAGTACTTGTGGGAAGTTAGACACTTACTGCACAATCAAACATAACTTTCGGCTAGAACCTTATTTATTAATCTTAAGAAAATTTGAGAAAGGGAAGATTTTAACAAAATTTCGAATCTCTTCTTACAATCTGATGATTGAAAAAGGTCGACATAATGGTATACCAAGAGAAGAGAGAATATGCCCCAATTGTAAATTAAAAGAGGTAGAAGATGAAATACATTTTCTTTTGGGTTGTCCATGCCATAGTCTATCAAGAATTAATTTACTCTCAACAATATCACTGAGATCTCATCTTTTTAATAGTATGTCTAAAAGTAACCAATTTTTATGGTTAATGAACTGTGAAGATGTTGATATGCTGTGCAATTTGTGTGAATTTATAAGTCATGTGTAGTTAGACAAATTCAAAGTGACATGTTGATCTTGACTTTCATTTACATGTACTTTAATTCAATACTTATACTAGAGTATGTTATGTTGTTAATATGCGTATGTTGCTGTATACTCTGCATTGAGCAGAAGTGGATTAATTAAAATAATTATACTATCCTTCAGCACTGTCCATTGCAGTTTAATATAATTTACACATGCCATTCAACATACATTTTTTTTAAAATTATTATTATTGCTGGCAGAAGTGGATTTCTGTATATCCTTTAGCACCGACTCTTGCTGCCTCTTGTTGATGTATCAGACATTTTTTATGTGTTCAGTAATATATGTATAATATTATTAATATTAATGCACATGATTGCGCATTAAGTTGTATCAATTAAGAGTACAGATATATCTTAAATCAAGACAACCTATGTCTACATATGAAACTCAAAACACCACCAATGTACTAAATGGAAGAATTGCTCTTCATTATATGTTGTATTCTGTCTGTTATCTTATCTGTAATTATACACGTTATATGTTTATGCCCATAGGGCCCCGATTTGGTAATAAATCCTATTCTATTCTATTCTACATGGACAAAAACTGAAATGGATATATCCGAAAACACTCATAAGATTTTTGGATTCAAATTAGCGGAATTCAGTTAAATATCGAAACAGAATCATTACTGATTAAATGTTTTTTTTTTCTTTCCAGTAGGGCTCTTACGTAATACTTACCCATTTTATTCTGTCCAGCAGGGGTTGTAACCACCCAATCTTACATTCACAATGGCTATCTAAGAAGGTCAGAATGGGGGCCTAGGCCACATCTGCCCCCTTAACTCTGGATCTCATTAGACCCTCTCGCTTGTTATTTCGGAGGATCTTTACTTTCTTTATTTTTGCCAGTTCTTCCCCATCAGGGCTAAAATGGTAAATGTAATGAAAAGATTGGTAGTTCACTAACATCTAACTAAATTAATAGTAGTCACTGTTGTAGAAAACAAATGTTCTGTGTGTACAAATACCTCTTTCTATTGATTACACAGTATAATATGATTATTATATGCATTTATCAAAAATACTTATGCATGTAATATCTTATTTCTTACAGTTATTCAATTTTCATGCCAATACTTATGTAACGTACTTTCTAGTCACTGAAATCATGCACTAGAACGAAACAAGAGCCTCCCATGAAACAGCACCTAAGATATTTAATTGATTTCAAATGAATTATGTTGTGCATACTTTATTTTCTGCAATAGAGAACAAGAACTAAAAATCCCATAAAGAAATTTTCGGAAAGCTGAGCTAATCTCAGTACGGGATATTGATGCTCACTGGTTATGAACAGCGAACTACAAGGGATCGAAAAAAAGCGTATCGTGGAAGATTTTCCATCAATTTACTACATAGTAAAATTTTGCTAGGAAACCTTCATCGTGATTATATTTTTCTAAACCTTAAGTATGATTTACATTTACTTTCAAATTTTATCTTTAAACATCTATTTTTTGTTAAGTTTTTGTGGATTTTTTTGTCCGTTTTATTATCCTTTGATAAAAATGTTCAACATAATCATCGTTTTCAACCTTCCTTAGAAATACAAAGGACGCTACTTTCTAAATTAACAGGCTGGATTTGGTAGATTCTGCGTTTCTTTTATTGCTTTAAAAATAGTTATCTACGTTAGTCAAGTAAGAGAAAGGAAAACGCTCAACGTTCAAATGATTTTAAAATGTCTGTAATTGAATTAATATGTAAAAATTAACTGAGGGCAGAAATACTTGAAGGAGCTAATATATTAGATATTTTATATTTCTTGTAATCTGCCGGTCTCGGTAACAAATGCCAATGACAGACATTCTTGATCTATATTCTCCGATTAGTTAATTTAAAAATATTACAAAGACAGATGAAGATTTTTTACAAGATATCTCTATTGAATACTTGAAGACAAAATATGAGTTTGCTGAGGACATGTGGTCAACAATTTTCAAAAATAATGAACCAAAAAATCTGCCTTTATATTTACATTTAGAGATGATTTTTTTTTTTCCAATTCCAGATTTGAGTAATTAACTTGAAGATAATTGTTATTTAGTAAGCAAATTTCTAATTGCACTTTTTTCTTTATCTGAAGAAGAAGCAAGTCCTTTTTCCAGTCTCACGGATATAACATTCATTTACTAGTAGCTTGTTAGAAGGAAAACAAACACAGAGGTTGAAAGCCGAGCTTTATTATTAACAGTAAACTGTTTTCCATATCTAAGAAATGGGAAGCCATTACCAACTGCTACATAAGATTGTATCTTAATCGTAGAGATCATTGTACAAGTAATTCATTATTTATATTTCAGATAAAGCCATGTTTTTTTATATGTATGACCCAACATTTGATGTATAAATTAACAATTAATGAAATAAGAAAATCTATGCCATGTTAATACACTTTTCTGAAAAATTCATTTCCGCAAACTAATGTATATGTTATGTTTTTTTTTTTCAATAAAAATGAAAATTCTCTTTAAAAAAACAAATAATAATCAATAAATACATGCATGACTATCCAGTGATGAACCAAAATGAAATTAGAGACAAGTAAGGAGAATTTTTAGGTATATCTAGGGCTGGGATATATGTTAGCTTTAGGCCGGATTATGGTTAGGATACTAAAACGCATACCATCCTTACACAGATTCAGTATTTGGATATATTGTCCAGCCCTAGGTATATCCACCAATTTATTTACAAATACCTGTGCACTTTTTTGAAACATATTCAAAAATCTCAAAAACATCTCTTTAAAGTATAATTACTAAACAATTGCAAATTGAAAATTATCACATAAAATCACATTATATAACAACTAACAAAGATGAAAATTTAAAAACTAAATATAAACTACACAAACTTACATGAATGGAAGCTCATAAAATGACTGAAGCAGTTTGGTTGTAACACCATTGCATACTTAAAATAACACAGTTGCAAGTATCAAATTAATAAGCTTCGAAATTAAACTGGGCACATTTCAGGAAAACGAAAATTTAACCATGGGATAACTTTCAACTTGTACACAAGAAGAAACTAATAAACCAACTCCTGTCTTTCTTTATCCTTGGTGAAACCTGTAAGTAATATAGAAAAAGTAAAGCCATTTCAATTAACTAAGTAAGGCCTTTCCTATTATAAATACCCATTAACTAATGTATTTAAGTAATCCTTGTAAACAAAACTTAAAAATAAATCTTGAATGCATTTGTGAATCAAACTTACATTGAACTTTTTCTAAAATTCCATATACCTAAAGAAAAAATCTGGGAAAATCGTCTTAAAAGAAATTAATATAAACAAAAGCCTTTAATTTTTCTTTTCTATTTCATACTTTATAAAATCATTGACAGAACCAGATATTTTGATGTACTATGTAAATTACTAGAGATTAAAGCAGACACTTGACTCCTTGACTCAGTGAGAAAACAAATGTGGAAGACTGGTGGGTAGTCGAGAGATGTGGACTGAATCCAGGACACTAATACATAATTATGTAATGGAGCACAGGAGAGCTCCTCAAGGAAATATAACAATTTTGGTTTGAATTTCCTCTGTTCAAAACAAAGCAGTTATTTTGATGTAGACTTTGGCACACTAGTGTAGGTGTTGGGGCGGTGTAATTAAAACTATCACACAGTAATTAAAGCACTCCCTCTGATTCAACAATCCCCATATCTCCATGCAATATAAAAATGCATGATTATGCAAAAAATACTTACAAACTTTGCCATTGACTTTATTTTATAAAATATATAATATTCCTTGGCAAGTAGAAATTGGCAAAAAACAATTCCACAATCATTTGAAAATTCATTTCACGCATTGCCAAAAAGAGTCTCAATATTTTGTTTTAGTTGATCTAGATATGTTTTGTGAATAATTGCTTGCTGCAATATATACTGTATGCCTGAAAAGTGTTGATGCGTTTAAAAATGATTCAATTTAATTATATATGATCAATGGTGTCATTAGGATTAATTACAAATTGTTCCAGAAACAAAGAACTTATTAAGTACATTTAATTGGACAAAGAATATCAATACATTAACTATTTGCATTGAAGAAAAACCTCTGAATTCCAAGACTTGTGGTTTCAAAATTTGTGTAAAATTCCAACAAATCAATTATGTGATTACTTACTTGGAAGAATGATTTAAAGCATGCAAAAAAATTAATGAAGGTCTATGAATACTAAAAATAGCTCTACAAGATCAGATGTTTAATTAAACCCAATACGCATTTGCAGAAAAAATGGAATTCAATGACTTTTATATACTAATGGTTTTGATCTCTAAATAGATCAGATATTGGTATGATGATGATAAAGCTGTATGCTGTATAAAGATATACATGTATCACATAAACATTCAATATAATGTCATGCATTGTCAATATAAATGTAAGCATGCATAAGAAACAAACACTTTACAACCTATAGCAATTAAACTGGAATGATAATTGATTATAAACACAATTTAATCACACATGAGCTGACTTAAAGTCAAACCACATTCAACCTTAAACATATCTTAAAATGTCATAAATTATCTTAAGAACACAAAAAAATCAAAATATGTAAACAACTTCTTCAACAATTCAAAATCAGAAAGACCTAATCACTCTAATTAAACATACCAATCTTTTATAACAAATGAAGGTGTAAAATAAATAAAAACCATAAATTAATGGTTTTCTTTTTCACAATCTTTGATTGTCAGTTGTAGTGAAGAGATGGATGACTAGAGTTATTCCTCTTTGTTGATAGAACTGAGGAGTTAATGCCCTTTGGTTGGGGAGAGTTATCCCCCTTTGCTGATGGCAAAGCTCCACTTTTGTGATGTTGACCCCGGCTGACAAGCGTTCACAATCAGTCCCTTCATCTGGACCTCCTGACTATCTATACACAGGTCATAATTATGATTTTTTAACATGGTATCACTGTTGATTCTCTCCCAGATCTGAAAAATTCAGGCAACTAATTCAAGGAAGCTCATTCTTTTCTCTGAATCAAAAGCAGAAAAATTTTTTAAACAGTTTGAAATTTCATTTTGAAATTTGCTTTACATTAGCACTAACATGTACCAATTTAAAAATGAAAAAAAAGTTACCTAGGCCTCAAACACACATAATGTGTGATAATTTTTTTACTTTTCAGAATTAAATGCAATTTCACAAAAACAAGAATATGTATTATTAGAAATGATCAAATATACAGTTAGTAGAGTTTACTGTGAACAACTTCACTGTTACATAATAGAACTGATCAAAGAATACTGTTACTGACAAAATTATTAATTATATCAACTATTCTATGCAGTAATTAGGTGAGTTAATTTACCTGCAGAGTATTGCCCTCCTGACATTGGAACAGTTTGACAACAGTCCCTGGCATACTGCCAGTCAAGGTCACACAAAGGTCAAGGTGCCGTATAAAGCCCTCCTTTGTCAGAGAAAACTCCTATGGAAAAAATACGTCATTTATATTAAAGTACAAATAATCAATCAATCACATAACTTATTTCTTTAGAAAAATTAAGTTAAATGCAATTTGTTTAACGTAAAACACAAAGATATATATGTAGTTCATGCCTATAAAGCAAAATATGCACAATACAAGAAAAGGTTATAGCAAATTGTCCATAGATTTACATATTGTATATATAAGTACTGATAAAAATATTCTCTAGTATACACAACAGACATTCATTTCACATCTGAAATGAACTGATAAATAGACCTATAGTTAATATCATGAACAAAAGACAGGCCAGAAATAAGACTCAAGGTACTTGAGTGTCATCTAAGTATCATGAGAATTCCATAGAGATATTAAAAACATTTCAGAGGAAGCTACAACTCCATTACCCCCAATTTCTCTCAACATTATTTTTTTTTTAATTTCAAACTTGCTACATGTACATACCAATGATATTTTGGACTTTTTCCTTGCAATGACCTAAACTTTTTTGAGCAAACTCATCATTGAATGCAATTTGAATTTCATGAAGAAGAATTAAAAGGGTTTATATTTACAGGTGTAGAGTTTCATAAGGATAGGAACCATGAAATTTATAATGTTTGTTCCCCTTCACCCATACAAGCCATGTACATATATAATGACATTGGTTGAAATTGCAGAAAAGAAAATGTAAATAACTAATATTTCACACCTTTGTACAAGACAGATATAGAAACAGATTTCAATAGGATCTCTAGTTGATTCATGTGACCTAAAACTGGGTCTAAAATAATAATTCATCATAACTAGTAAATAGTAATTCAACTACATGTACAGACTTGGAAAGCAGTTGGTTTGGACTAAATCAAGGAGAGAAACTGGCAGGTCCAAGCTCAGACAGGGAATCTAACGGAAAGAACAAAGAGGGAAGATATTTGATAATATGTCTAGAATGAAAAATCTGATCAGTGACAACCATGAATTGTCAATGGATATCGTACTTGTTCTTTTGATAATAAACCAGAAGTCTCTGACGAGACTGTCGCTCTACTGGTTTGTACTTATAACGAAGGAAGATAAAAGTAGCACTTGGACTTGAAACTTTGCAGCAGCAATAAACAGAATAATGATCCTTGGTTTAGTCTCTTTTTGTGGCAAGTTTTATTGCAATTGGACTAAAACTGTAGGAGTAGCCTTTTGAAAGAATTTTACAGAAATTTCGATTTTAGTAACCATGGCAACATCATTCAACAAAATCAATTATGTATCTTAGTGTAGTCTACTTGTGTGCCAAGTTATACTGAAATCAGAAAAACACTGTAGGAAGAGTAGCATTTTTGAAAGTTTTACAGAGAAATTTCTATTTTTAGTAACCATGGCAACACCATTCATCGAAATCAAAAACCAATAAATAGAATTATGTATCTTAGTGTAGTCTACTTGTGTGCCAAGTTATACTGAAATCAGATCAAAACTGTAGGAGGAGTAGCATTTTGAAAGTATCTCAAGGAAATTTCTATTTTTAGTAACTATGGCAACACCATTCATCAAATGGAAAAAAAACAATGTACATAATTATGTACCTTAGTGTAGTCTTCTTGTGTGCTAAGTCATACTGAAATCAGACAAACACTGTAAGAAGAGTAGCATTTTGAAAGTTTTACAGAGAAATTTCTATTTTTAGTAACCATTGCAAATCATTCATCGAAATTAAAAACCGATAAACAGAATTATGTATCTTAATCTAGTCTACTTATATGCCAAGTTGTAGTGAAATCAGATCAAAACTGTTGGTGGAGTAGCGTTTTGAAAGTTTTTCAGGGAAATTTCTATTTTTAGTAACTATGGCAACACCCTTCATCGAAAACAAAAACCAATGTATAGAATTATGTATCTTTATGTAGTCTACTTGTGTGCCAAGTTTTATTGAAATCAGACAACTGTAGGAGGAGTAGCATTTTGAAAGTATTTCCCAGAAATCTCTATTTTTAGTAACCATGGCAACACCGTTCATCGAAATTAAAAACCGATACACAGAATTATGTATCTTAGTGTAGTCTACTTACCCGGTATGTGTCAAGTTATATTGAAATCAGACCAAAACTGTAGGAGGAGTAGCGATTTGAAAAATTGTTTACAGACGGATGGACAGACAGACAGACGGACGGACGACGGACACCTTACTATTGCATAAGCTCTTCTGGTCTTTGACCAGTAGAGCTAAAAATCAATGCAAATACATCATTTCGTGGCCTCATCCTACCAGCTGAAAGGTGACATGATTTATTCAAAGCTGAAACCATGGGGAAACTGAATATCTTTTTAACTGGCTATGTCTTGCAGGAATATAATGAGAGTTAAATTGTGGATTAGCTGTTTTTGAGAGGAGGATTTTTTAAATTTTAAAAGTATATTAAAATGAAAAAGGCAAAAAACAGTGATCAATCTAAGAAAAGCTACAGACAATACAGATCTGTGAATCAGTGCATAAATCACAGACCCCTGGAGGTGGGATTAGGTGCCTTGGAGGAATAAGCATCCCTTGTTGACGTGTAACATCCACGATGAGCAAGTGTCTTGATCATCTGATTAGAAAATTTGAAATGGTAATGATACTATCCTAAAACCCAGAAGTCTCCAAAGAGACTGAAGCTCTACTGGTGTGTAATTGGTGTATCTTAGTATAGTATACTTGTGTACCAAGTCTTGTTGAAATTGAACCGGAGTTGTAGTAGGAGTAGCATTTTGAAAGAATTTCACAGAAATTTTCCATTTTTAGTAACCATGGCAACACCATATGTAAATTGTAGAAGATCAATAAAATTCTCTTCAGCATGTTCACAAATTAAACTAGCAGCAGTTAATCAAAAGCCACAACAATCCAATATGTGTGATTAATCAAGGCTTTGAAGAAAAGCAGCCTGAACATTACCTGATTTTCATTGACCTACACAAAAATATATTAAAGGCAGAGTTGTTGAAGTCAGAAATCATTTAAAGCTCTAAAATTGGTAAAAAATGATGTAGATATTCATGTGTTTAGCATATACATGTATAATTGGTTTTCTTCAGAAAGCTTGGCTGTTTTATGCTTGTGAAATGTAATATTATTATTTTACAAGAATCCAACGGGGCCTTAACGGTCACCTGAGTATAGTACAACATTGTAAAGGATCCAAAGGTATAAAATAAAACAAAATAAGCCAATAGATAGAGCTATGTTGCCCAAAAGCAAGAGAAATAGGATCTGCAAAATAATTAAGTCTAGTTCCTGTAACAAATCTTAAAGTAGATCTACTTGCCCCGTTTGTCACTATCATCATGTAAACTAAACAAAATAATAGCCCTTGAGCATTTATATATACTAGCGAACCTATTTCATTACCTCTAACACTGTATTGGTCTTTGATGATCATTAAATGTATAAAGATGAGGTATTTTTCTCTCATTTTTATTTATCTATTACTTAGAAGTGAACCTGACCATTAATACCTTACGTATTTTATATATTATAACAATTATTGTATAAACTTATTCAATTGACCTTTCCATTACATTTACAGTGAATGTACTTAGTTCGTTTGCTTAATACCCTGGAGCAGAGAAGACCAATTTCAAAGATATAATGCAATTCACTACATATTCAACAGAGTCCCTCCCTTACACCAAAACACCTGACCCAGGGGCCATGAATTTCATAATTTTGGAAGAGGCATCCGAGCTCATCATAAAAGAATTCAAGCATTTTCACCACCTATTGTATAGATTCCTGCCCTAACACCAGATCCCCTGACCTAGGGGCCATAGACTTCACAATTTTGGAGGAAGCACTCTTGCTCATCATAACTAAGCACAACAGAGTAGAATTTCTAATAATGCGTTTTCACTACATAATCAAAAGTACCCCACTTTAACAAGATTCCCTGAGCAAAGAACCCAGAATTTCAAAATTTTGAAAGAGGTGCCCCTTGCTCATCATAACTTTGCACTTGTTTGCTTGCTTAATACCCAAGAGCAGAGCAGACAACTTTCAAAGAGATAATGCATTTTCACTATTTAATCAACAAAGGCTCACCACCAAACTAGAACCCCTGACCATGGGGCTACAAATTTTACAATTTTGGAAGAGGCATCCTTGCTAATCATAACTATGCACCTAGTTCATCTGCTATATATAAAGGGGAAGAGAAGATTATTTAAAGATTTTGCATTTTCACTATATAATCATGAAAGCTCCACCTAAACTCCAGAAATCCAGAGATCCTTGCACTATGAATTTCATAATTTTGGTTGAGGGTTCAATGCTTATTACCATCATGACAACAGTTTAGCTGTTTGATGTCCAGGATAAAGAAGAACTCTAAAGATTGTATTAATTTTGATGGTTTTAACCCCACCCCTCAGGCCCCAGAGGGACAGGGACTATGAAGTTCACAATTTTTGTTTCACTTCACTCATATATGCTATATGCCAAATTGCTTGAAAACGGTTCAGCTGTTCAAAAAAAAAAGCTGAAAATGTTCAAATGTTCAAGGATGACGCACGTCCAAAACCAACAGACAAAAACAGATTGCAATATGTTACCTGTGTGACTCAGGTGACCTGAAATGGGCTTGGTTGACAAAATTTCATTTAATGGTATTTTTAATTTACCTGATTTCCACCAGCAAAGTGACAAGGAAATATCCCCAAGTTCCCATCAGCAAAGTTACCCAGTGTATCCATACAGTTGTTGTCTTGTTGAATGCTGCCAAAGGCCTGATCCTGGTGGCCAGGCACCCTGAAATATCAGCATTAACAACTATACCTCAGCTTTCTAACGAGAAATATATTGTTTTTTTTATTACTATCATAAGTTTTGTGCTTCTAATAAATTAGTGATTGTTTTGTATCGTTCTAAATTAATATGTAGAGAATATTAGTAATAGCTATTTCAATGGTATACTTACTTGAGTTCTGGGTAAACATTTTCTAGGAACCATTTAAAGGGTTTGCAACTCAATTTTTTCCTCAGCTCAACTCGCTCTGAGATACTACAACATATAACACATAAACATAACCCACATCAACTCTAATTTGTAAGACTCATCAAGAAATGCAATGAAACTTTCCAGAACTAGATGCCCATGGCCGACAACAGTCACCTGAGCACATGTAGCAATTTTCAGAGAGACATTCTCTTGACTTTTTTCCTTATGTGTTTTTTTAAACATTTGTCTGTATGTTTATATTTTGAATGTCTCTTTTTAAGGTATTTTCTTTTATCTATTCATCCATTACTTCTTGACATGTGGGAATAGACTTTCCACTAAATAAGGATGCATTCAAAGTAATTATATTGTCAACATTCAGTAAAATACCCCAAAAAAATCTAAATGACAGAGAAAACAATCCTACTCTCCGAAGTTGACCATTTTAGCGGACGGTACAGCAGCATAATAGAACTCCTTATAATTGTCCATCCAGACCTCAGCAGCTCTCCTGGTGTTGCTACAAAAGGTCAGAGGTCACCAAAATGTTAAACTTCATTGAACAATTCATGCAAAAAATATTAACAATTATAGTTATGTTCATCTCAATTTCATACTAAAACAAAAGCAAAGCTATGATTTGTATTTTGTAATTAGTTTACTTATTAAATACTGTAAAGGCACTTGTCTACAAGGGGGCATAATTCCGCAGAATCACAATTTCTGCTCAATCCGAGAGTTGAAAGTTATGCAGAATTCTTGGATTGTCACTCACAATACATCCTTAATGCATTTTAAGTGCGCTGTGACATTTGCAAAAATCATGACTTCAATTAATCCGAATTGGACAAATGTAAACAGTACGAAATTCTCTAGTTACCGTGCAAAAACATTTCCACTACCCCCGGGAAATGTGTAGGGGTGCTGTTTCCTAAAGACATGACCCACTCGACTACAGGGAATGATTTCTAGAGATCCGTGACACTGCCAAACTCTGAATGAGATTTCTGTAGAAAAAAAATATACTCATGGTCAGACCTATCATGATATGTAGTATTTAATCAAGAAATTTTTGTGGATTTTTTTTTGTTATGGTGTGATCTTACATGATATTAATTAAACAATACATATAATGTGTTTAAGATATAATGTGCCCTACACCTGAGTTTGACATGTCCCCCTGAAAAATCTAAGCCGAGGACCCATTTATTTTTTTTTTTGCATAATTTGCTGGTAAATTGTCTTGTTAACATTGTCCTTTAATATGAATAAAAATTCTATTGCAGAATTTTTTTCAATGATCACCCTTATACCCTAGACTGGCAACTTCCCATTACTTTCTATAGTAATTATCGATTTCCATCACCAACTTTTGAAACCTCCCCATTAAAAATTTACATCGTTGACCATATGATTTTTTTTTATTGATTTTAACTCAACAAAAGTCACTTTACCACATATTAGAATTTGAATAAAAAATCTATTGCAGAAATGAATTAGGTCCATCATCGTTAAAAGCTCGATCCAAACTAGAAAATACATACCTAGATTTTCTCCACCCCATACATCCATGTTCTTGTCATACTTTCCAAGTTCTTCAAACCACTTTTTCTCGATACTGAACAAACCACCAGCAATCATGGGAGTCCTGTCAGAGAATTACAGAAAAAGTTAGTCACGCATAATTATTATTTCAGAGAATGTTGTCTGAATGTCATTAAATTATTATTGAATTAATCCTTAACAATCTGAAGAAAAATTAGCAATTTTTCCTACTCTGACTCAGTAGCCATTTCATTTTTTGCAAGTTCCATAAAAAAGTTCTGTTTACAAACAAATTACTAAAAAAAAAAACTGCTATTAAAAGTATTCATATTTCCCAGGTTCAACAAATATAAAACTAAAGGAAGACAACTCTTGCCCCTGGTATTTAATTTATTTGTATGACTAAAAAACAAAAAGAAAATAAATATAATTCTTGAATTCATATGTTAAACAATTGCCATATTCTGGAATTGATTTAAAAAATCCTGAATAAAAAGATAAAATACTAGGTACAGTCACATGACAATCAGGTAAATAAACAGGTAGACCAGGAAGTTATAAATAAGCATCCAGACTGTGAACTTATACAGGGACATCTGTTTTTAAAAAGCAGGTTTGTGTTAATAATTGTTAGGAAAAATGATTTTTAAGGATTGGCAAAGGGAAAAAAGGAATACATTCTTAATTGATTATTCCCAAAATTTAAATTGATCCTCCTTGTAAAATGGGTCATTTATGGAGGTCAAATTATAGAATGCATATCTTAATACAGTTACTGTATACTAAACCAAAAGTAATACAAACTAGACTCAAAGTATATGTCACCTAACATAACAATCTGAATCAGTATCAAAACAAGTACATGTATTCCTTATAAAGGAGGTGATCAGAAAATGAAGTAATATTCAGATGTTGAACTTGTGGCCCACATAAAGACACAGAATGTATAAAACATTCACATTATCTAATAAGTGAATAAACTTAATTGCAGTTACTGTAGTTTAATGCATACACGAACTTAAAACTCAATTGAACAAAATACTTAGGAAACTTTACTATAGGAGGGGTGATCAAAAAGTTGCGAACTAATTGAATTACTTTCTTAAAAGAAATAAAATGAGCTAGGTTTCGTTGCTCATTATTTTTTAAAGTAGTCCTCTCCGATTATACTGCACATCTGTCATTGTTCTGCCCATGCGCGAATCACGTGATCCAGGCAGTCACGATCGTGACATGCTCCGTGGCATTCTGTTCACAGAAGCTTAAAGATTTTTCCGAGTCTTGTATTTCTTACCATGCAAGTTATTTTTATAACAAGAACAGATAATCTGTCAGAAATGGCCAAATCTTGGCAATAGGATGGGTGGATAAGGACATCCCTTCCCAGAATTAGCATGGTGATTATCAAAACCCGAGTCCTCTGTCTCGGGAGCATCGTTTATCCAATGTTGATAAAGTATGGACGACCTCTTTTTATCATATCTCATATGTTTAAAGACTAAAGTAAACGATATTTTAGGGATTTAATAATGATATTATTGTTAAGATATTCAACAATTTCTCTAATTGTAACTTGGCAATCTTTCATAATAAATTGCTCAACTAAGGACATATCTTTTCCCCGGCTTGCTTTCGCTGGCCACAGAATAAAAATCATTTTTAACCATCTCATTGCCTTCATTAAAACAATCAATCCAATTAATGATTGAACTTCTGGTAAGTCTTTTGTCTTCATAAACCTTGTACAAATTATCGTATTCCACTGCAAAGGAATTTCCAAGATATATGTTAAACTTTACAGCCATTCATTGCTCGAGCACGACTAAGTCAACCATTTTTTGTCACAAGTCACCTACATATTGACGTAATTTTCACATTGTGACGTCACCAACACAGAGCAAAACATTATAGAACACCTGCTATTTATAGAATATGTCTATGACTATATGTGTGCCAAATTTCATTCTGATCTGAATTGTGGTTTTGTAGATATAGAAATAGTTCACCAACTTTTTGATCACCCCTTGTAAAGGGAAAGGGTGTATTTCTAAGTCCCCTTTTCCCTTGTCAACAAAATGACGATTCTGGTAATTAATCTGTAAATCTGTGTGATATCACAGATATTAAGTTATGGTTTTAAAAAGGCCTGCTCCAGAACTTATTTTTTGAATTGAGCAGAGAAATTTAGAATCTTTACTAAATCACTTATTTAAAAAAACATGTATCTTTACAAATTTAAGTATCATTTAGGTGAATTTTAAAAAGTTTTAGAACACCTCTTTGTTTGGCAAAGATAGCCTTGGTATATTTCAGATAAACTTTTATTTATCTGCATTTCTTCATTATCAAATGTATTTCAGTCTATTTCTACATGTATTATATTATAAATGTATTTTTTTGAGCATTTTTTCCATAAATTATCATAAATATTTGGATGAGACTTTACCAAACATATGTGCTCATTACTCATTTGATTTTTACATATTATCAGTTCAACATCATTGCGACAGAATCTTTAAAAAAGTTCACATTTAGTTGATACATTTGTAAATTTCAGGAATAGCATAGTAATGGACCCCCATACCAGTGCCCAGGACGTGATGCGATGTGACCTGTGTGAGACCACTGTGGTACAGATGCACTGTGATACATGTCTTGTCAACCTGTGTAAGGCCTGTGTGGGAGAACACATGATATCTTATGAATCCAAGAAACACGAAATTGTTAGATTTCAACTTAGAAAATCCACCCTGATTTACCCTGTCTGTAAATTTCACAAGAAAGAACGATGTGAAATGTACTGTAAACAATGTGCCATTCCAATATGCAGTGCCTGCATTGCCTCTGGAAATCATTCAGGTCATAACATTCTTCAAATGACAAATGTTTACAAAGCTAGAAAAGAGGAAATTGAGAAAGAAATTGATGAGCTAGAACAAAATATTTACCCCACCTACCAGTACATTGCCTCTGATGTACAAAACAGAATGAGTCAGTTAGAAAAGGAATATGGAGATCTCTCAACAGCCATAACAAAACATGGAGAGGATTGGCACAGAGAAATTGATGAGCTTGTCAGGAAACTTACAACAGAAGTTGAGAAAATGAAAGCTGAACACCATGAAGCTTTGAAGAGTCATATACATGAAATAAATCAGAGAATAGCTAATATTTATAATGAAATCCAAGCGTCTACAAAACTACTGGAATTAAATGACATCTCCCTGTTTCTTGAGTTCAATACAAATATACATGAATTCAGAAAACTTCCACCTAAAGTTAATGCAACATTACCGCATTTTACTCGTACTCAATATCAGCAGGAACAACTCATCAAACTGTTTGGGAACCTGTCAAGTCTCTCTCTTACCTCAGATAAACATGGCTACAGCATGAAGACAATGCAGAAATCACCAGAAGCTGGATCCTCTTCTCCAGTCAAACAGCTGCTTGATCAACCAGAGACTATCACCACCATAAACACTGGGTATGAAGAATTTTACAATGTGGCCTGTCTGAGTAATGAAGAAATCTGGACAAGAGGAAATGACAGCACCATGAAACTCTACAGCATCAATCAAGGATCAGTACTCAAGTCAATCACAACCAAGTCTGGGTACATACCATCTGACATAGCAGTGACAAAAAGTGGAGATCTAGTTTATACTGATGACGTTGTTAGAACTGTGAACATTGTGAAGAATAAGAAGATAGAGGAGGTGATCAGACTACAGAACTGGAGACCTTGGGGTGTCTGTAGTACCTCCTCTGGTGACCTCCTGGTTATCTTGTACAGTGATGATGAAAAACAAACAAAAGTTGTCCATTACTCTGGCTCCACAGAGAAACAAACCATTCAGTTTGATGATCAAGGTAAACCTCTCTATTCATCTGGTTGTTATTACAGATACATAACTGAGAACAGGAACCTGGATATCTGTGTGTCTGACAGTAGAGCTAAAGCAGTAGTGGTGGTCAATCAGGCCGGGAAACTGAGATTCAGGTACACTGGACATACTCCTGCTCCAAAGATCAAATCATTCTATCCACTAGGAATCACCACAGACAGTCAGAGTCACATCCTTACAGCTGATTCTAACAATGACTGTGTCCACATCATAGACCAGGATGGACAGTTCCTCCGTTACATAGACTGTGGACTGAATTATCCCTGGGGACTGTGTACAGATACAAATGACAATCTGTTTGTTGCTCAGTGGAGAAACAGACAAGTGAAGAAAATTAAATATCTCCAGTGAAATCCAACACTGTAATGATGTAAGTTAGTGAACATCATAATACTGTTATGGCAGCTGAAATTATGTTTCTTAAATAGAATGCATATTTCCACATCAGTGTTAGTCAGAGATGCTTTTTATCAAATATATTTTATCTTTTATCTTGCTTTTATTATGAGAATAAAACTGGTATTAAAGCATGACCTTATTTAGTTATGAATTATTATTACTCTACATGACATAATATCATATTAACAATTTTTATCAAAACAATAAAACAAACACAATCATATGTTACTTGTTCTTTCATCTCTACGTAGCTGATAACCTATTGTTTTAAAAATGTATTGATTGAAGACATTCAAAAAGATAAAGGACTGAATTATATTTTAAAATATTAATACTTTCATGTGAATTAGTTGAATCTGATTCATGGAGAGACATTCCTCAAAAAACTATTACCTACTGAATGATGAAGCCATGCCCTCCAGCATAGCAACAGTCGACATTGCTTGACAACAAGATGATATTTTAAGAAGTATTGAATGCACATAATTTCTCTGGGCAAGGTTCACTGTTATATGCATTTGAATAAACCATTCAGTATTATTAAATGTTCAGGAATTTTGATGGTCTCTGATTGGTCTAGACGCCTTTTCCTAAGGTGTACCTCAGAGTGAGTTACCTCAAAATGAAGTTCCAGGAGGTTTATTCGGGTTTTCCCTCTTGACCAGCCATGGATATGCTAACATTTTTTTGACCAATCAAATTGCACATTTTAAAGCATGTGTCATTGTCAATGTAAACATGGCAGATGCCAAGACACTAAACTCCTTTCTTAGTAAATAGTTGAGTATTTATTGTTTAATAATATTGTTTTCCACTTTTAAACATTTGTTAAGCTGTTAAATTACAATTATAATGTGTTGTTACACTATGCATTAATATAAAATGAGTGTTTATATTTGTCGGAGACAAAAACTAAAGTGTCAAAAATGTTGTAAAATTCCAGATCATTTAATAAAACGGTTATTGACTTTTGAATTCAGTCTACTCGTGATTATATGGACCTGATCAGGAGTGGGTTAACCTCGGCCTTCGTCCTCTGTCAACCAATACCTGACCAGGTCATAAGTCATGAGTAGACCTCATCAGAAGTCAACAATTGTACATAATAACAAGAGGCCCATGGGCCACATCGCTCACCTGAGCACATTGGCTAGGAAAAAAGCAAAAATCAGTTCAGCATTGAAAAGTTTATGGGGTGTGGGGGTTGAATTTTAAACTACCTAATGATGCTTACATATCAATATAACAAATGGCTTTGCTGTTCTTGAGCAGCAGATTTTTTTTCCCATATATTCATTTGTAAAACTTTGATCCCCCATTGTGGCCCTACCCTACCCCCGAGGGTCATGATTTGAACAAACTTGAATCTACACTACCTGAGGATGCTTCCATATAAATATGACCAATTAGGGCTTGACTGTTCTTAAGAGGAATATTTTTAAAGATATTTTCCTATATATTTCTATGTAAAACTTTGATCCCCCATTTTGGCCCCACCCTACCCCTGGGTGTCATGATTTGAACAGACATGAATCTACACTACCTGAGGATGCTACCATATAAATATGACCAATCATGGCTTTGCTGTTCTTAAGAAGATTTTTAAAGATATTTTCCTATATATTCCTATGTAAAACTTTGATCCCCCATTGTGGCCCCACCCTACCCCCGGGGGTCATGATTTGAACAAATTTGAATCTACACTACCTGAGGATGCTTCCATATAAATATGACCAATCATGGCTTTGCTGTTCTTAAGAAGAAGATTTTTAAAGATATTTTCCTATATATTTCTATGTAAAACTTTGATCCCCCATTGTGGCCCCACCCTACCCCCGGGGGTCATGATTTGAACAAACTTGAATCTACACTACCTGAGGATGCTTCCATATAAATATGACCAATCATGGCTTTGCTGTTCTTAAGAAGAAGATTTTTAAAGATATTTTCCTATATATTCCTATGTAAAAATTGATCCCCCATTGTGGCCCCACCCTACCCCTGGGGGTCATGATTTGAACAAATTTGAATCTACACTACCTGAGGATGCTTCCATATAAATATGACCAATCATGGCTTTGCTGTTCTTAAGAAGAAGATTTTTAAAGATATTTTCCTATATATTCCTATGTAAAA